TGACTGAATATAGGTATACTTTCCAGAAAACAGTTTATTTTTGCAAAACTTTCTTTCTGATACAAGGTACCCGTGAAAGAATGGCCCGAAGGCGCATGTTTTCTGTAAATGACTGCAAGTGGAACATGCATTTGGTTCAAATTACGTAAGAGCAAATATCAGCCAAATTTAACCACCGTGGAAATTTGACAGTGAAGGTTACAAGTAAGTGGAAAAGGAAATAGTGCAAAGCAGAGTTAGAGGGAATAAGGATAGAAATGTATGCAAGTGTGTGTACTTGGTTGTGTTACACAAATAAACTATACTCACAACTTGACCCCAGCCTGTGTCTTCTCTCACTGCTTTACTGGAAAAAGTCTGGTCCTTCCTTTCTTCTTTCCTTCCACCATGAGTCATGTGGGGAGAGGAAAACAAAAGTCAGTATATATTGGAGCAATTCACCTTTAGTAAGGACTAGGATATAACTATTTACCACAAGTTAAATGTTGATTCTGGTAAACTAAGGTTCTACAAAAAATGTAAAACAACATTCTATGGAAAAAATACCTCGACTTAACTGATTTTGATATTCGCTCTGTAAATTACGAATTAGTGCACACCCTCTCGAAATTGAGAGAGGGCGGTATAAGAAGCTCCAAGTGTATGAACGAATTTGCAAACATTGTACGTTGAACACGGTGGAAGACAAAACGCATTTTATCTCAAATTGTACCCTCTATAGCAAGGAACGAAATGAACTCTTTGACGTAGCCTCCAAATTCTACCCACACACACTTTCACACATACAGAAATTAAAGTGGGATCCTTTGTCTTCCTCTGTCTTCAAAAAAGAAGTCAAACCCAGTAGTTTTTACTAGTAGTTTCTTAGTAGTTATCAGTAGTTCTATGTGTACTAATCTGTTTTTATAACAAATGTTTCTTCTGTTCCTGCAATTAGCCCTCGGGCACGAATTTGCAATAAAACATTCATTATAATTATACTGCCTACAACACAACTGGGATTTTTTCACTGAGGAACATTATATATACATTGTAAAAAGCCAGAATTTCTTCTGATCAAAAACTTTTTATTTTGAAAGAACAAGTCTAAGGTAAACTGCTTTGTAAGTTGAAAAGCATTGTCTCACCTGTAAAATCTCTTCATTCCACCAGTCTTCAAGTCAACCAGTCTTCTCAGCCCTCATCTGGTCTGGTTTCGACAGGAGTCGCTGGTCATCACAGGTTTCTCCCAGTCAGCATAGGAACATCAGGACAGCTGACACTCAGGACACACCTACCGATATGAACACTCAGTCAGATGGTATTGTAATGCAACACTGAATGACTATTAAAGATAGACAAAGAGTGATAAAATTGCTCAATTGGGCAATCCCTTTTGTTGAATAGATGTACAAAATCCTCGGCTCTAGAAAGTTGTTATCTATTGCAACATGCCTCAGAATTGTGAGATGCCTTAGAAAAATATAACTTGTAAATTGAGAACCATTGTCTCACCTGTACAAACTCAATGTGTCTTCAGGTCATCTGATTTGCTGGTCTGGACTGGAGAGAAGTTGCCGGTCTCCAGGTTTCTCAGAACACAAACATCTGGTCTTGCCGGGTTTAGAGTCATCACTGCAGTCAACTGCATCAGCCAGCAGCCACCTAGCTACATGTACATAGACATTAAAAAGTTACATGCTTGTCTCAATTAACACTAAGAAAACTACTACTGGTACAATTTACAATTGAGATTTCAAGTTCTCACCTGATATTCCTCTTGTGTCTTAAAATCATCTGGTCTGGTCCAATCTTCTCTTGTCATGTTCAGACTGGAGTCCCCACTACTGCATCAGTCAGCAGCCACCTAACTATACAGACATTAGAAATTACACACTTGTCTAAAATAACACCAAGTAAATGGTAGGTAAAATCCAGAATTGCGATTTTTCTCACCTGATATCCTCTTCGGTATTCAAATCATCTGGTCTGGTCCAATCTTCTCTTGTCAGGTTCAGACAGGAGTCCCTAGACTGACTGCATCAGTCAGCAGCCACCTAACTATACAGACATTAGAAGTTACACACTTGTCTCAAATAATACCAAATAGCTGCAGATAAAATACAGAATTGGGATTTTTCTTACCTGATATTCCTTTTGGGTCTTCAAATCATCTGGTCTGGTCCAATCTGTCTTGTCAGGTTCAGACAGGAGTCCCCACTACTGCATCAGTCAGCAACCACCTAACTATACAGACATTAGAAGTTACACACTTGTAATGTTACATACTTAGAAATGGGGTTTATGAAACAAGACACTGGCTATCTGTGTGATGTCACTAACAAAGCACTCTAACACTAGCTATACATACTACGTATAAATGATACAATAAGGACCAAAATTGCATAGTACATCCTCAAAATCAAACCAAGCAACTGCAGTGACTGCTTCATACAATTACATGATTGTATACCAACAGATACAACTTGTCAATGAAGTATAAAATCCAGTAAAATACAAAAAAGATTGCCTTATTAAGAATATTTCAAATTTTGATCCCCTGACATCACATCGGATGCCTTTAAACAAGACACAGGCTAAAATTATCTGGGTGATAATGTTATATTATGCTCTCCTGAGCACCCAAAATTAAACCTGTGCAAAAGTGGAAAAAAAAATTAATAATACTAGTATTCGATTTTGTTAGGTGTATCATTTAAGGCAATGATACACCTAACAAATTTAAAACTGCAGAAACAAGCTCCAAGATGAGTTCTTTATTTTATGGGTGGTTACCCTAAAAATCATCCCAGGGTTCTTCCAGTAACAATTTTCCGTCAGAATTTTGGTAAGTTTTGCTCCGTGAGGGTCAAATTATATAAATTGGGATAGTGCGGTTTCAACTCACTATGTAGATAAATGACTAGAATATTGGCTTTGAAAAATCGGGTTTCCAAACCCTAAAAACTGCATTGGATGCCTTTAAAGTGACGTTTTTGGCGGGAACGTTGAGTGGGTTTAAATTCATTATGCACACGTGCGGTACATTCCAAAAGGTGTTCACCGACCAAACTGTGGAAATTTCCAACAAAACAAAACGTTTTTAGCAGCGAAATTTGCTCCTAGCTGTTTTCAATGCCACTCAATACGGAAGAAATCTATCCAGTGTTCCCAAAAACCATGATAGTCAAAAAACAACCTCCCTATCAAAAATACTCAAGTACAAAAATAATATGACCTAACAGTAACACACCACGTGTACGAAAATAGCGTTCCACGAAACGCAAATTCCTACGGAATATAAAGGTTAACATAACAAATTATAACGTGGTCTGTTGCTACAGGTTTGTTGGAAGTACACACATGTACATTCAAGAAGATAGTTTGTTGTCTTACCTCGCAAGAACGAATCTTGTCAGCACCACGCCGTCCTTCCCGCCATGGCAGTCGCCATTTTCCTTTCTTCTCCAAATTTCGCCCTGCCAGGAAACACGAATTTTCTCCTTCAAACATCCAAAGAACGGCATAACTCCGACCTGGAAACGTTCAGACGATGTACTGTACCCTTTGGACGGATAATTTGCGGACAAAAAGCCGAAAATTTACCCCAAAAGTTGGAGAGAATTCGCCGCAAGACAACGTCCGTCACACAGATGAGCTGCACTGAACCATGGTCGAACGGACCGTACCACGTGTGACATTGCATAGGGGTGCAAACGTTATTAATTATTATTGCTCTTGATAATTAACCATCAACATTCAGCCACCAATCAAAAGTAATTAATTCTCGTCACACAATTTTAAATTTGTTTTCCATGCCAAACCAAACGATCAGGATACCTTCTGCCACAGCAACTGTCTATAACGGAAACTTTTTGACCCCTCCCCTATTTGTTAAATAGGATCCCCTAGTGTGGACCTCCCCTTGGTGCTGAACTCGCCATCAGTTCCATGTATTAAGTATTGTAGTTGTGATAATTAGTAAGGATCGTATGTATTCCGCGTAATGGATCGTATGTATTCCGTAAAATTCGTATGTTTCTAGTATGGATCGTATGTATTCCGTAACATTCTTATGTTTCTTAGTAAGGATCGTATGAATTTCGTATGTTTCTAGTAATAGATCGTGTGTATTCCGTAAACTTCGTATTTTCCTAGTAAGATCGTATGAATTCCGTAAAATTCTGATAAATTCTTTGGCACCCCTGCGTACGCCCGGGCATTTTTACCAAGTTGGTTTCAAAGGCCTGGGTTGTCAGAAGGACCTATGCTTGGAAGGATGGTAACAGAGACTTAGCAAAACACCCCTAAGCCAGAGCTATCAGACTGTAGCAAGGTGCAACAAACACGGCCGACGCTACGGAATTTCACGCGGCCGGCGCTGCCACTTGTCCCGAGGACATAACTCCTCTAACACGATGACTTTTTGGCCGAGTATTTCATCGAGGGTGTCGCCTAAATGTCGTCCACTTGCACGGAATATGTCGGTCTTAACCATCTCAGTCGTTTGCCTTCTGTATTATTGAGTATTAAGAGGATATACTGAGCAACACGGCTTAGCCTGGTAAGTTGTAACTATACCATCGGGAGCTCCTCGGGATCTCTACGGTGCTTAGGGAGTCCCCCTCCCGCCCAGGCCCATTATCGCACAGCGGGCCATTTTTACCAGGTCGGTTTCTATTATTAAATTCGACAGTAGTCAGAAAGGCTGACAGGAAGAACAGGAAAATAAGCTACCAGGAAAACAATTGTTACAATAAATGGCCGGTAAAAAACCCTAATTCGGCCCAGCAAAAAAAAGTTACAAGGGCAAGGTGCAACACCGTGCCTCGCCTCGGCTGGGTCTCTTACTTTCTTAGCAATTTCGAGTTCAAATGACACCAGACAAAGTTACATTGAGTATTTAGAAAGATAAGAGGCATATTGAAAAAGGATGAAACAATTACAGGAACACATGTAGTCAAATGAGATATTTTTACTCGTTTAAATAGCATGACCAAGAACAGAACAAAGGTAGACAATTTTTGTCAAGTGTATTTATTGAAAGCATAAACAGCAGAAAGCTCAATATCAACAAGATACAGAGGAGCTCAATATCAATGATAAGAGATGATCTGTGGCCAACTACCATAACATCAACTATGGTCAACACTATCAACTGTTATCATATTTTCATTGCTGCAGAATTCTGCAGCCAACTGTAAAAATAGCTACATGCACAACATTGCACAATATTTCTATAACTTTTGTTCCACCAAGGAAGCTGGATCTGTAACCTCCTTGATGCCTCTAAAATTGCACATTTCAGGGAAAACTTTTTTCTGTTCTTTACATCCTTCTCTTAGCAAAGATGCTCTGTCAAAAATACAGGAGCATAGCCATAGGGCATACTTGATCATGAAGCTTGAAAGCTAGAAAAACAAATGGTCATTGACATAATTCAACGAACATTTATATCAGAAAACAATATACATGGAAATCTTCAATTGAAGACTAAAAAAAAGACTTTTCCTTGTGATTGATGATTATGATCTACGACTAAATCTTCACATTTTTCTGCTGGTTATATTTTTGCACTTTTCCTGGTGACGGCTATCTCCTCTACAAATATGCGACATTTTGCAAAAATGGCTCTAATATACTACTGTATCCTACAGGATTGTTTCAACAGTGCATTTAAAATTCGTGTACTGAAAAAAAATCTCAATTTTCCTCCTACAGCAAATTAAAAACCACTTAAAAAATTAATCAACCTATAGTATCAGTATAGGATGATCAAATTGTATCAAAGATGGAGAATTCGGTGTCAATGGTCCAAAAATTGAAACTGCTTGCCATCAACCTTGGGAACAAACTGATGTTGGTCTATGTGGTGCATCCCTGCAGGAAGATCTTGTCTGCCAGTTGCTGGAACTTGTCCACCACTCGCTTGTACTTCTTCCTCGCTGCCTTGTCCCCAGTCGGCCACTCGGCCACAAACGACTGCTCAGTGATCACATACCTGAAGCTGGGAAGCAGAAAGAAGCCGCGGCTGTTAGCAACATTCATGATTAAGCTAGAGCCATGTGTTGAACTGTAATTGTATTGCATTTATGTTTGTGCTGGAGCTACAAGTAGAAAGGACTATGTAGCACATGATGTATTTTACTAATACAGTTGAGATTAAAAATAAACACACTGGTAGGAAATGAGGATGCTTCTTCCAGTATTGTATTGTAGTGCAATGCAACTTCACTACACTAAAGAAATTATACAACATTACTGTCTCATCCATTTTAAGATGAAAGAATTAAGGCATGCCATTAATTTTTACCAGTAGTTTTGTACACAGGACAGCTTAAACGGTCTTGGACACTTCTCAGGTGTTCCATGATAGGTAGGCTTTTGTTCTTGTTAAGAGGTGATCAAATTTTGTGACAGCTCCTCAATGCAGCTATCGTTTGAACTGCAGACTACATGTACATGTATATCAATCCTAGAAAGAAAAAATATTCTCCCTTGGTAGAGAGCTATGTTTAAACCTCCGTACATTCACTCATTCATCTATTCCTTAACCCTTCCCCTGCTACCTATATGCATAACCATTAGGGTAGTCAAATGGCTACTACAGTGTGCTAAGGGTTAATTCCCAAATTGTTACCTGTCCAAGCCATTCTCATCGGTGTACTTGGTCCCATCCTTCCCCATCAGTAGGTAGGTGGTCCCTTCTACAAGCTGAAGGCCGGAGCAGGTCTTTCGTTTCCAAAACACGCGCTCCTCTCCCTCAAACACATCATCCAGTCCTGAAGGTGGTACGAAAGTACAAAACATGTTTTTCAAAAAGGCATCCATTTAAAAGGCATCCAATGCAATTTCAGGACAGCAGAATTGGATTTTCAAAGTCTATTTTATTGTCATTCTGTGTCTATGTGTGAGAGAAAAATGCAATGCTGCTGATGGAAAATGGTTGCTTGTTTCATAATTTGCTGTTTCTACTAAGCCATTCATGGGCAAAGTAGTGCTCGGCACCAAGGGTGAGTTTGAATGTTCTTGTATGGTGTTCCGCACCAAGGACAGGTGAGTTTGATTGTTCTTCAGTAGTGTTCAGTAATAAGGACAGGTGAGTATGTTTTCTATGGTGTTCAGTTCAGCACCAAGGACAGGCGGGTTTGAATGCTCTTGTATGACATTGAGGACCAAGGACAAGTTTGTGCTGTATTGGTGTTTAGTTTCATGGAACTAACTTGTTAGCTGAAACTTACCACCTTACAGTCCAAAATTGCTTATCAGTAGACCATGACACACTACAATCCTCTACTTACATGTGACTGTAGCAGACATGTACAGTAAAATGATGTACCTTTCTTGATGGGGCTTTCCACAATCACGCTGATCCGGTCAAAACTGCCCTCCTCTCGCACTTCCATCACAATGACCCTGAAAGCTGGGCACATAAATCACTTGTGTCAGACAATGCCTTTCCAGTCCCCCAAAAACCAACTTGTTTGGCAAACTAGCTTTCAGTTCATAGTTCACTGGTACAGCATTCCAGTCACTTAAGTTACTGGGTCACCTATACTTAGGGTGATAATTCTTGTCATACAATGTTTGGTGACAAGAATTATGAGAACAAGAAAAAGGTTTAGTACATTGGAAAAGCATAATCAGTTCTGTGGTAAATGAATTCCGAGTAACCACCTTTTGAATCTGTGTCACATAACGTGAATAACGTAAACCCACAGGACAGAGGCAAATGCCATCAAGCCTAAGCATCAGTGTGCAAGCACGTCTAACCCTCAGAAGATGGGGAACAACAGACAATAAACAAAAGAGTGAGTGAGTGTGTGAGTGTTATATGTGGCACTATACGTTTTTAGTTACCAAGACTTAAACCCCTTCTTTGCCTGACCTATCATTACATTTAATGAGGTGCTTTGTAAGACTGTTCCTACCGTAGTCAAGGTCGTTGCAAGCCTTCTCTTCCAGGTCTCGTTGAGTCAACTCCCTCAGTTTCTTAGGGGAGGTCTCCTTGGGACACTTCCCTGTGTAAGGCATTGGGAAAAAATAAGGAGTGTGAAACCATACTGAGAATGTTTGTGTTATCTCACTACTTTTCCATGTGTTTTATAGATATCAAGCCCAATTTGGCATATGTAGATGAAGGTTAGACATCTAACTAATGAGATAAACAAAAAACAATTACTCAAGCTACTGGACAGATTGACACAACACAAGATACCACACCCATGTACCCTGCTGCAGTACTTAATAAAACTGCTAGAGTGCCCATAATTGACCATGACCTTTGTTGTCCCAACCCCTACCTATCAAATATCATGAATACATGCACCACAACCTATATATGGTGTACTAACACGTAACCTTCTTGATAGGTAATGAGTGATATCTTACCTTCAGCACAGACACACTGACTGCCCTCACATAGTGTGGCTAACAGAGGGCTGCCCTGGCTGGGATGGTAAAATGTCGTACAGGCATCATCTGGAGAGAGATTTATCAAATGATTATGAATACTCTAGCTACAATCAGGGCTCAAAATACTTTTTTCAGGTACCTGCCAAATTGAACGTTGGCAAAAATTTTAGGTGCAATTTGAAAAATTTCATATGATGGGTAGTAGTACCTGGTTGGTAGTAATCATAGACACTGACTGGTACAGGCTGGACAGCCCCTACCGCCATCACCCGTTTCAAGCGAATGCTCACACAAATCTCTTCTGAGGTAATCTGGAAAAAGATGTGCAACATCACCAAACTTTACCTTCAAATAGTTAAAACACAACGACAGGGCTTGAAATCCATTCTGCATAGAAAATAATGTGGGTGCATGGCATAAAAGTAAGCAGAATTCAGCAAAGCCTCATTACAAATATTACAGCCTTTTTTGGAGCTTGAATATAAAATTGTATAGCTAACGTATTAATCTTAGTCTTAAAATATAAATCTTTAAGTACTACAACAAAGTTTAATATGACTTCATACTAAGAACAGGCTGTGTTAGTGTGCAATAGTACATGTACTTTTACATGTACACATAACCATACAGCAAAAAAGAGGCGTACCAGTGTACCCACAGTTAAAAATTAGGTGCAAAGCTCTATGTTTATCTCTAGTAGTGCTAAGCACTTTCTTAAGCAAAGGCTACCCTCAGGGTTGGTAAAGAGTTAAAATGGTACTGAACATTAGCCTACCTCGTCGAAGTACAACAGAACTGCTCGATTTGTGGTCTCATAACGCTGGACAGCTTTCTCCCCAGCTCGGTTCAACAGCTAGTAACATCAGATAAGACATACAAACACATTACTACAACAGGGTTATTTGTCAGAGAAGTTTACTTTGAGTTTAAGCAAATTGTATCTGTATTGGTATAGCTGGTATAACTTCCCTTCGGCGTAACACACAAGCTTCAAACTAGAATCACAAGCCTAGTATTTTACCATGTGTAGTATCTACGTAATACTATATATCTGTCACCGTCAAAAATACATTCTTTATACATCTAAATGCAAATCTAGAATGCAACTCCTGCATATTTAAACTGTGCATACCTGTGGGTGCTGCACTAGAAATCTCTTAAAGTAGAAGATATCGTACATGTATGTATGTTAATGGACTAACGTTACTTGGATGTTGTTTAATATATAGTCTTTGTCAAGACTATAATAAAACAATTCCCCATTAAAATTTTTCAGAAGACAATTTTTGGGGAGTAACTGTTATGCTCAAGTCCCTAAAAGTTCAATGGCTGTATATGCAATGATTTAATTACCTGTTCCAGGTCTTGCTTGACTGGTTCAAAACCAGAGAACATACCAATGTCCATGATGGCCATATTGGATGCAGCCCGCTGGCCTCGGTAGCTGAAACAACATCATCAATAATTACTGTAAATGTTTACATTTGCGGTGGCAAAATTTCACAGACTGAGAAAAATGGGCATGTTCATGGAACTATGTTTGCAGTGGCAGTAGGTAAAGAAGAAAGAAAGTTGGCGAATTATTTGTTTGTGGTAATGATAAATTTGTGGTACAGAAGTGACAGCGAAAACTGTGAATATAAAAGTACTGCAAGAAATTGTGATTTACAGTATTATAGCATCTCAAGAGTTGTTTTCAGCTGATATAATCATAATTATCATAACCAAGTCTAAACATGTTTAAAAGATAATTTTTGTCTCAAATTGTTATAAGAAAGGATTGTACAGTCATCAATTGAATAACTTAAGGGTCTCTTTATGAATATGAGTACAACTACTTGTACATGTACTTGGGACTAACTCGGGATTTTTTAAAATCCGATACTCACCTGGTGCAGACTCTAACCCGAATAAAGAACTGGCTTTGGTCATCGTCCTCTGCTTGACGCGCAATACGCGACCGTCTCGGGTTCTGCAGGAAGCCTCCGATCCGGGACCGTGAGCTGAACGCGCTCCTTTCCCGTGCGTCCAGTTCTCCGTCATAGTCCGGGTAGTCCTCGTCTCCCTCCTGCCCGTCCTCGGGTTCCTCCTCGGGTTCCACTGGACCTTCCGCCTCTTCTGTTGTCACGACAACCTCGAACAGGCAGCGCTCCCGGTGAACGTCCGGCGTATGGTAACGAACCTCCACCTACAGGACAAAAATATCAATTAGCATCATTACGATATAAAACTTCAAAATTAATATAGGGAATTTTACTGGTTCAGGTATGATATAATCTACTTTTCATATACAATGTAAGTGTAATGATTTACATGTAGATACAAAGTAATTGCACAACGATTGGTACAAAGAAACAAAGTATAGTATCTACTGGTAGATAAACTACAGTTCCATAAAGCTAATCTAATTTCCCATTAACAAACAACCACCTCCCCCAAAGAGCTGTCCTGTTCTTGTTTTTTGTTCAGTACATACCTGCATCTGTCCGATGCCAGTCCCACTTGTACTCAGGAACAACTTTCCTCCAACAGGTGCCTGGAAATAAGGTATTCTAGAATCATGATGTCTACTTGTACATGTGTACTTCATAGTAATACACCAGTAATACCGGTACAAACTTTTAAATCAGAACATTCTAATGGCATCCAATACAATTTCAGGAAGGCAAAACTGGATTTTCAAAGTACTACTAAAATATATATAATTCAGCAATTTTCCTTCTCATCTTTGCTTGCAATAAGTTACTTGGAATAGCTGTTCTATCTTTTCTGGTCTCAAATTTTGCTAACGACATTTAATCTAAAAAAATCCTAGAACCGCATCCTTATTTGAGTTATCTTGTTGGATATTCAGTCAGAATCCTACTAAATTCTCCAGATGATTAACTAGTTTATATAACAACACCTGCCACTACATTTTGTGGGAGAAAGTTGTTTACTGTATCATTCACGATTTCAAGTGATTACTGGTAGGTTTTACATAATCAATCAATCAATCAATCAACCAATCAATCAACCAATCAATCAATCGCAGGCTTCATGTCAGAAGCATGCCAGCTGTAAACAGTTGCTTCCTTTCTTTCAACTTTCTACTCACAGTTTTTTCTTGTTTGATCAAGGCATTGTCTTCATCCACGTGAATCTCCTCGTTATAGTCCAGGTCGTTGTCGGAGGTCATCTGACAGGTGAACTGTGTTGGGTCGACCTTGGTGCTGCCACAGTAGGAGGCCAGAGCCTGGAGGGCAACCACTGTGTCCTGGGGGGGAGAAATCATTCTGATGATGATAAAGCCACACTGTTTTAATTTGATGGATGACATCTACGCTCACTGATTCTGGCCTGTTTTCAAAAACAAAATGACCTCCATTAAGGCTCTGGCCTGGAGGCCAATGGTCACTACGGAGGATGGCACTTAGGCTACCAAAGCTCCACAGAACTCAAGAACTCAGTACAGTGCCAACTCATAAATGCCGCAAAAGACTAGCAATGTGGCTGACTTGTCATTGCTTAATGAATTATATACTACCACAAATTCACAAGCTTTTCACATATTGTTGTGGTTTAGAAGCATGTTTTGCCTGGTGACCACTAGTTTGGGGGTTTTCAGAGGATGTCATTCATAAAACTAAGATAGTGTGGCCTAATGGGCTAAACTGATTCATTTTGCCACTTCTTGAACTTGTAAGTCATTATACTAAAGTGAATAGTGAATAAATGTAGGATTGAAGGAAGGACGGAACATTTCTCTCCTGAGTTAATAGATAGATAAATTGAATGAATAAATGAATGAATGGAGGAAGAGGGGAAGGAGGAAAGGAATAATACTGTTCACCTTAGTGATGGATGGGTAAATTGAATGAACAAATGAAGGAAAAAAGGAATATTGTTCACCTGAGTTAATGGATAGATGGATAAATTGAATGAAGAAATGAATAATGAAGGAATATTGTTCACCTGAGTTGACACGAAGCCCCCTGCGCTGTTGCGCTGCTGAGTGAGCCAGACCACGATGGGGTTACTGTACTGGACGTCTCCGATGTGCATCTGTGTCAGCAGTGCGTACGCTGTCGTCTCCACGGCGATGGCACTGGGCTTCCGTGTGTACCAGTAGGGCTGCTGCCCGCCGCCGAGGCTGGAGGCGTCAGCTTCCCAGTAACGGGAGTTTGTACCTGCCATGAACAAGTATTCATAAACTTACTCCATTTTTACAGTGACACATCACAATTACTATTCTTCCTGGAGTTCAGACTAAAATAATACAAAGTAATAATTACACCAAGGTGCTTGAAAGAAATCTGTACCTACCATGAACAAATTCATAAAGTTATTGGCTGGTTTGGTTTATTTCGATCTCCTTTTTTACTGATGCGTTCAATTTGCTTCTTCTTCCTGGAGCTCAGGCATAAATAATGTAATACTACCCATATCCGCATTAACACTACAAAAATACAGAAGTCATAAGAATTTGTATAACCTTACTGCTAGCAAAACTGGATTAAATACTGGTCAAACAATTGACATGTCCAATATATATGCCCAGAATTTGATGCGAAAATACTATGTATCTATGCTGCCTAGTACAAATCAACAAAAGAGATTCAATCCCCATAAACAGCTACAAAAGTGCGTTCACCCTGTTAAATGAAAACAGAAATAAATGAATAAACAACCAAGTTCCTCAGACTACCTTCATCATACTTGGCGATACTTCTGAGCTTCTCATTGGCGGCAGCTTTGACGGGACTGTCGGCTAAATGGAGCGCGTACGTTACTATGGCGATGACATACGGACGCTTCAGCTTGTCTAGCTGTCTCTCTAGGAACAAGGTGGCTCTCTCAATCGCAATGCTGCGTTCCTGTCCAAGAACACGAAAAATATTTAGAAAATGAAAGGGGCAAGGTAATTTTGAGAGTTTTTCTAGCCTAGCAAAAAGGATTAAGAAGAAAATAAACTAACTGATAAATATAAACCAAAGCAATGGTTTACAGTCCCTGATGAGTCCCATTGAAAGAAACCATACTCACAGCTATGGGGCATTCACAGTTTTCCAGCAGAGAAATGAGCACAAATGCTGTCATAGACGCATCTCCCTGTACACCACCCTACAGTAAATAGTCATAGAAAATCATAGATATTACAGTTCTGTTGAAAACAAAAGAACAAATATTTTTCTCACATGAAAAAGGTTGATTCAAATTGGAGAAAATTGAACCGATTTGAGCGTTCACACACAAAAAAATTATCTGGATTGATGAATTCTGATCCGACTAGACACTCAATCCAGTTTGTTTTTTGAGTGTGAACAGGGTCTAAGTGAATGTCTGTACCGTCATCTCCCTGTGATGGACTTTGTACACCTCTTTGAAAGCTCCGTCCTCCCTCTGTGTGCTAAGGAGCCACTCTGTGGCTTTACACACAGCTTCCTCATCTATACTGGTGACAAACTTCTTAGCCTGGCAGAACACTTTGTTCACAAATGCTGTCAGCCTGGAAAACAAGTCAAAAACATTCAATCTAAAGCCAACTCATTGTCGGTTCTCAGAGCATCAGACATTTTATGTAACATTCTAGTAAGACTCCAAAAAACAGAAGAATAGGAGGAAAACTGGCACTGCAAATCACTCTTATTTGCAGTACTTTTACAATCACGTTTTTTAGGTCACTTCTGTACCGTAAATTTATTATTACCACAATCAAATAATTTGCTGACCTTCTTTCTTCTAAATCTGCCACCACCACGAATGTATACTTAGTAGTTCCGAGAAGTTACACTTTCTCAGACTGCGAAATTTTGCTACCACAAATATGAAGTGATTTACGGTATATAATACCGGTATACCAGATAATGGCATAGCGTAATGTTGACCTGGCCCCATTTTTTGCTTACCAAGTGCTGCAGGGATATCTGTTATTCTGGCCCCACACAGAGAAACACCCCTCAGCTCGCCTGTGGGTAAGTTGTCTGTTGTAGCCTGGAATATTAGATTTATATTGGATTGATAAAAAAATGAGGATGAAACATGACACTTTTTCATTATCTTAGCTTCTAATACATATACTACTATGCAGTTTTGCTACAGCATATTTACCCATGTAGCCAAGTTTAAAAAGTGAAATTACATGTGCATTATATATAATTTTGAGTACATTTTTGCTCACTGTTTTGAATGAGTACTGTATATCTCAGTGTTTACTAAAAATATATGAAGTCCATACAGTATAATGTCCAAGATTACAGGTTGCACATATGGTGACAATAGCCAGGATTCGAACTCCCAACATGTTGGACCAGAAGCAGTGTCACTAACATTGTGGACTAACTGTCTTACATTCTACAAGCACTACACTTGCTTGTAGGTTTTTACGGTGATAGATAAATGCAGGGTCAACAAAGTTTTCTCCACCTCACCTTGCCTGATGAAGTCGTATGCCTTCTCCTCCACATCTTTAGTGATCTGATCGGTGCAGTGCAGGTAGCTGAGGACGTAGACGTTGGGCGCCAGCTTAATCATGGTCTGTTCTCCGCAGCCCGTTGGCAGGCGAAGGAGGGTTCCCAGGCCCCCGATGGTGGTAGTGATGGTTGGGCCCATGATGTCACCTAGTCATGGAGAAATAAATGATTTATTGGTCAAACATTACCCATGCAATCGCAGCCTTTTATAGCACTAAGTTGATGCAGGGTTTACAGTCACATGATACACAGTCATGATACATATAACATATTTGCTCCACACACTTTTGTAGAACTGTTGCAAGGGTCTGTGTGGCCGGCTGCCATTCGGCGCCACCAGGTGACCTCAATACGACTTTCCCCAACCAAAGTTAGGTACCCATTTACACCTGGGTGGAGTGAGGAAAGTCATGTTATGACAAATTGGTTTCAGGTAAATAAAGTACTCCCCTTATTGGTGGGTTGTTATTCACTGTGTCAAGGGTATGGTATTGGAAGGTGGAGCCCATCCCTCTTTTACCTCGCCAGTCAAATTGGTGATCACATTTAGTATTATAATAACACTTGGGTGGAGTGAAGAAAGTCATGCAATTTAGTGCCTATACATGTGTGTATGACTTGCAACCAAAAGAGCCTATTGAAATGAATCATGAAAAAAAGAAGAGACTACAGACCCATGACACTGACGGCACATTGCTCTGATCCTTCAATGGTCTCTGGAGGCAGGCGTACGTCCACAACATCAAACTGTAGTCCATTGTCAGGGTCAACGTCATCTGTGGAAACAATGAACATCTCACATAGAAGTGTATAATGTTGTAGCCTGGTATTTATCCATTTCAAACTAGTGTCCACTTCCCAACAGTGGCTAAAATGCCAACTTAGAATATATTGGCCTTAGCCTTTTTTATTTGAAGGCTATAAAATGTTGCAATCTAACATCTGAATTTCAAACAATCTGAAACGTCATTCAACACATTTTCAGAGGCAATTCTTTCTTCAGTAAGTCGGGTGAAACATTTGTCCACAAGCAAACAGGTGGACAGATTCTTGAGACAGTCCCGATGCATTGTTAAACTTTATTTCTTGGATCTGTTGTTTTAACGTTCTTATTTTTCAAACCTGGAAGTCTAATATAATTATACTGAGCCATATTTCTCAAACAAATGTAAACAATGTTTACGCGATTGAATCTAAAGCAACGCTCACGTTCAGTAGGAAGTGCCACCTCCTCCTCCCCCTCCCGTTTCCTGTCTCGTGCTCGCCCCTTCGGATCCACGAAGATGGACCTCACCAACCTCCTCTCAACTCCCTCCGGCTGTTATACAAAAACAGGTCGCACAAAATTATGTACTGATCATATTAATGCATTTCTTATCTAAGATAATTACAAACTGGTAAATTTTCTATTATTACCATAGCCTTTTGAGGCCGTTGGGGCAATAGGTTGTTGATCCACTGTGTCTAGGGCATACTTTTGAAGACTAACAGATCTTATATTTACAAAATAATATTATAGCTTTGGTTCATCAAGGGTGATATCAATGTCAAGAAAAAGGTAATAATATCAGATCTAGAGAGAATGAATTAAAATGCTCAAGAATGTGAGACTGGCCCCAATACAAGAAAAGGATAATTTCAGATCTAAAGAAAAATGACTTAAAGTACTTCTGAGATGGGCCCTAATACTTACAATAACTTGTAGTGACTTTTCGACAATGTCCCCTCCTGCGGCAGTGCTGAAGGCGAGAACACGGATCGGAAACGTTCCGACCTCCAGAGGGATGATGGGAAATAGGACGGAGGCAGCGTCGTTGCCCTTGATGAAGAGTGTTTTCCTCTCGCTTCTCTCTCCTGCCCTCGCTCCAGAACATACACCCTCCACACCTTGCAGGTACACATTCACCTGTAGACAACAGAATTGGCTACAGATGTAATTTGAGGTATACTTTAATTTTATGTTCACTATTTTTTATGGTCACTTCTGTACCATGAACTTATCATTACCCTTTGTCAAATAATTTTTCTGGAAGCTAAACACACACTGGGGTTGGTGGAAAACAACGTCCAGTCCGATCTGCGGAAAACAAAGTCCAGTCTGATTTGCGTTTTCCGTCGATCAGACTGGACGTTGCTTTCCACCAACCCCTACCAGAGGACTAGTGCCCTGCTGCAGTGATTGCACAACTCATAACTGTCTGAAACAGAGATGGGGACCGCCCAATGCACCTGGTACATAGGTGCAGGAAGGGGGGGAGGGTTAGGGTTATGTCCTTACCCTCAGGTCCTGTTGGTCGTAGTTGAATATCGTTGCGCGGACGGCAACTTGCTCCCCCCTGATGATGGAGTACGGCAGCTGTAGATGGATGAAGAACTTTTTGAAGGACTTCATGCGGAAGGGTTTGGCCACACACATGCCATTTGTGGTGGAGATGCCCACAGCTTGGATGATCCAGGTGGTGATACTGCCCGGAACTGTCACAGGAACAACGGCGTGACCTCCATCGCTGGGGAGGGAGACAAGTCAAGGTCATTCTTCATACTTCAACTATTTCTCTAACTATTGTTATCCGTAACACAATGCCATTTATTTGCTAGCCTGGAAACCATCCTATTCTTAGAACATACTGCAACAAATTTCATGTACCGGTACATTGTATGTCCTTCCATGTAAAGTTTAACTTTTTATCTGTCATAGATGCAACACCTGGTGTTACTTACTCCACTTGGACGTCTTCAAAGATCCAGGTTTCTGGGAATTCCGTACGCGCGACGAGCTGTGACTCGTCTTCGTCGATGTCGATATCGAGAAGGCCGCCGCCGCCTCCCATCCGGCCACGCCCGCGTCCCAGCCGGCGCAGGCTGCGTGCGTGGTTACAGCACGTCAGGAAGGTGAAGTAACACTCGTCCTGCGACGTGGAGTTCAGCTTGGCACGTTGGAGGCAGGACCGGCCCAGAGGATCCCACTTTTGGCCTGCCATGCAGCAAGGCTGGAGAGTCTCGTTGTACTCCATTACTGCAGAATGGGTAGAAAAGATATTGAAATGTTTTTACCAGGGCTCTAGCCAGTAAGGTTATGCTCTTTCCAGTTATGCAGTTTTTTTAATCCAAGAACCAGCAAATTTAATCTAATGTCTCTCTTTGTGTTATCTTTTTTTCAGGCTAGCAGCTTGGGCTACATTATGTAAAGCTGGTCCAAAGTATAATTTTGTAATTCACTTTTTGGTGAAAAAAGAACAAGAAGAAACTAATCAAGTTGGCATGGCAAAACCTGATCTCTTAAAGATGGACAAATAACTGTCACCTTTTGCCTCCAGTGAGTTTTGCAGGTCCCTTTTCCTGCGTGACTGACTTGCACAGCCTGCATTGCTGCGAACTGCAGGCGACAGCTGGGTGTTGGTCAGCACAGTTACACCAGCATCCTGGGAAATATAACAAAGGGGAATTAAAATGCACAGAGGAAAATCATTCTGTACTCCAGTCCACAACTATAAAAATCCATTATTGAATATTTCACTGGTCACAATGAGAAGTCAACAAGTAATGTGTTTTTCTGGAAAAGCGACTTGATTGAAATTTTTCTCTTTGTCGGCCAAGCTGCGTGTCTATGTCCCTTTGTTTTGGTACATGTAAGTTTGATAATTTCTTGCTCTGTTTCTTACCTTGAAGACATTTGCGCTGTCCTGTCCCCCTCCTGGGCCACATCCTTGATCATATTTAGCCATGGCCTGGAACATCTAATATGTGATACAAAATATGCATTAAGATTATTAAAAATATTAAAAACTACTAAAACTGTTAAAACTGTAAAAATCATAAAAATTATCAAAATCATAAAAATTTTAATTATTGCACTCTTCTTTAATGCATTGATAACATGCAACAGTTGATGCCTGTGCCTAGACCCAACAATGAAAGAGTTCAAACACAAACAATGGTTTTGGGCACTGAAAAGTTCTTGGGGGGGGGGGCAATTTTTCAATGAAATCTACAAAGTTTTGGGGTGACTATGATCATGACTTGTTCAAAGTATGAATTCTAGTACCCTACTAAGGCTAGTCAATAGTCATACAATATGAAGATGGGGACAGCAACTGTCATTCAGTGGAGAAATATTATTGGTAAAAATTAAACTGATGATTTGTCCCAAGACATAAAGTTTTAGCTTCACCTTCTGAGAAGTGAGTCTGTTGTAGTTATTGAGCAGGTAGACAGCCTGGTCCACAGCCAGCAGTCCCACCAGTGAGTTGGGGTCGGCGTTCACCTCAATGTTGGCCTGTTCCTGTGGTTCTACATTGTCAGTTGAAGACACGGTAACCTACAAAAAAATTCATGTAATGATATCAGTGCAATATACCGGTGCAATAGCTCAATCGGGTAGAGTGCTAGCTTTGTAAGCAGGAGGTCATGAGAGTTTAAACCCAGGCCGAGTCATACCAAAGACTTTTAATTTCAAGACTTCCAAAATCATATTAAATTGCTTTTACGTTTACCAAAGAAAACATTCAAAATTGCTCTTGCTGTGTTTCTTCTTCTTCCATTCCAAACACTGACCTGGACCTGGTGTTGGGTTACATAATGTTGCAATTTTATAGTAGGAGGGATTTAGACTTCTGTCACCATATATGTGAATGTGTTTGAGTAAGAGTTATCAGAGCAGACCATATGCAAAGGTAAACATTATGCATTTGCTTATGCTACCTTTCTAGTTGCTTATTGTTTTTTGGCGTTAATTGTTTATTACCTGGATGTCTAACAAGCAGCTATTTTGCATCATCCGTTGCCCTACCTTGTTTCTGCAGACATTTTCGACCTCCAGTAGGGTGGAGTCTGCCACCACCTCCCCCTGAAGGTTGATGTAGTACACGATGAGACGCGAGATTGGCGCCATCACCGCAGACGTACGGAACGTTATCGTCTTCAGCACGCCGCCTTGTCGTACGATCTTCCCCTGCAGCGTCACCTGTCCCCGCGTCACCACCTGTGAGAAAAGGCCTTCCTGGTTAAAATGGAAGTATTGTTTTTGGTATCTCTGCGTGTGTATGTCTGTGTCCGTGTGTTTCCGCAGGTTGTAATAGAGTGAAAAAGTCATTTATCATTTCTACATTGTACATGTATATCATGATTTTTATATGTTTTATATGTATATATAGAATGAAACTGACTGGACACTACATTAGACAACCCAACATTGTAGCATCCAAGCTTGTCCTTTGGGAACCCAAACTGGCGGCTTTCCTGGGTACTGCAGGAAAACTTCCGGTTTTGATATCTCATGATCTGGACATGCTAGAGTCACAAATTGTGGATGGTAGATTATGAGCTCTTGAGCTAGTGAAGAAGTGACATTAGTTTGGGCCCCCTAGCACATTTTCAGATTTGGTTTGAGTGGGAGTTTGACCAAACTAAGTAAATTAGTAACATCAAGGTTTGATAAGATGTGACCTCACCATGTAGTTGTAGCTCTGGATGTCGTTCTGTTTGGTGACGACCGCCTCCACGTCGATGGCCTCGTCCACGGGGATGGGACCGCGCTGGAGCACGCGCACCAGGAGGTAGCTCCCGGACGGAGACTGGTACGGCGTGGCCTCGTAATCCTCCTGCGCCTGGTGCGCTGGGGGCAGACCCACCTGCTCCGTCTTGGCCTGCAGTTTTCACACATTGAAATTGAGACATATAGAATGGTTTATTATAACATCAACTACATCAACAGTCGCAGCCCGAAGACTGACTTGAAGAAGCAATATTACAGAAATTGACTGCAAAACATTAAAAAACATTTTCAACAAAGGCTAAAATCAAAAGCAAAAGTTTAACGGTCAGCATAATCATTCATATATATACACAATGATTCAACTATAGGACTGGTACTCAATGTCACTTGAGCCGAGTAAGAAAAAAGGTTTAAGTGCCTTTTGCAAGGGCATAACTTTCCTGCTAGGAATTCAAAGCCAAAACCTTAAGATTCTAAGTCAACCACCCTACGTAGAAGAAAAAGAAACCCTACATAACGTACCAGCTTGTTCCAATACTTCCAATACTCTACCTTTCTGTTTTCCAACTCACCGTGACAGTTAATGTCTGTGTTCCTGGAGGCACGTCGACCGTGAAGCTGGCCTGCCCGTACTGATTGGTCGTGTCGCTGTTGTGCTCGTTGTTACGACCCAGAATAACGACAGGGTCCTGACCGGGAATAATCGCAGTGGCGGAAACTCGGACTGGAATGTCCTCGGCTGGTTTGGTATCCGGATACGTCAGAGTAAGCTGAAAAAAAGTGATTGTACAGACATGTTGAATAAGTTGACATTCTTGTAACTGAACTGACTAGCAGCAGATTAACTTTTTTGCATTCTATACTTTATGCTGTCTCAAAATAAGGTAATCAAAATTCCCCTTAAGATTACAGCAAATGCAAATCAAGTCAAATGCAGTCACATACATAACTGCTATGGGTGCAGTCACATGCTGCTATTGGTGCAGTCACAAATGTACATGTACATAGGTGCTATAAGTGCAGTCACATACATTGCTGCTATAGGTACAGTCACATAGTACATATCTGCTGTATAGGTGCAGTCACACATACAGCTGCTGTAAGTACAGTCACATAGTACATAGCTGCTGTATAGGTGCAGTCACACATACAGCTGCTGTAAATACAGTCACATAGTACATAGCTGCTGTATAGGTGCACTCACACATACAGCTGCTATAGGTACAGTTACATAGTACATAGCGGCTATAGGTACAAAAAATGTAGTCACATAGTACAATGTTACAATGCTGCTATATGTGCAGTCACGTAGTATCGATTAGCTGCTATTGTTACAGACACATACCTTGACAAGGAATGGTAAGCCTGGCTTGAAATACGCCGCTGTCAGGTCGTAGCCAATCTTAAACGGTGATGTCTCAAACCTGACGGATGTGAGAACCGCCATTTCTCGCAGACCCCCTGCCTCTTCTGTCACAGACGCCTCTAAGTACAACCGACTGCCTTCAGGGAACCACAGGTCAAGATCCTTGATTCTTTGTGTGTCGATTTCATAGAAACCAAATCCATCATTCACCTAGTAAAAGGATGAAAAAGAGATTTACATGGTGATCATATTTTTGATGCTAAGCTACTAAAAGTTTTTTTTTTCATTCTTACAGCAATAACTACATCATAATGACTTCCAAATGCAATCATTCATACTTAAGAAACATTAGCAGGTTTCAATTACTCAGCATATTGGCAGAATGTACTGTGCAATGGTGAAACGCAGATTTGTCTTGGTTTTCATTCAATGTTCAATGTTCGGGGAAATTCCGTTTACTTAGCTCTTTTCAACAAGCACAATGAACAGTGGACACAATTTAATGTCCCATCCTAAGGACTGCGACCCTTTATAGTAGCATGTCGGGTGAGCAACAACAACCCGGGATTCAAAATCCCAACCTCTTAGTCCAGAGGCAGGGTTGCTAACCCCTGGACTTATATGCACGTTACTACTGGATTCCGCACTCCTGATAAATATGTGATGTATGTCACCTCTGTTTGCAGCTGTGCAAAGAGCTGTCTGTTTCCCTCCTGGTCAACTATACCGAACTTCACGTCCAGGAAACCATCCACACCTTTTCCATAAGTATAGCTGAAAGACACATGGAACAACATTTCCATCATATGTCTATTATCATATATAAGTTACATAATTTAAGTTTTCAAACACAAAATGTTAATAAACGTATTAGAGAAACGTCAGGTTTTATGTCATACTAGGGCTGTAATACTGGGCAACCTACAATGTAAGCCAAAAGCTAGCTTGCCGTCAACACCGGCTGTATATTTTAGAAGGTAAGCCTAATAAGCCAGGCCACCTGTAAAGGTATCACTCACATGTTGGGTGAGTCAGTCATTGAGTGTATTTCAGAAGCCGTAAGCTGTAAACTTTTAAAAGGTCACATCATATGACAATAAATGATAGCCAGTGTGTACCAGGCAACCTAGCATCTCCAACAAGTCTGGAACAGAAACCACGACTTGCACAACGAGTGCAAGAGTGGATATTTCAGATATTTGGAACCCTGAATATGGTGATGATGACTTACAGTGCCTCCACCTCTCCACTGATGACATCATCCTCAGGTAGGATGTAGGGATTGGACGGGATGATTCTCACACCATAGGTGGGCAGCACTGAAAGAATTTTGTGAAAAATTTAATGTATTTTTAATGTAAACGATTCTGTTCTTAGACATGATCATGATACAGAATGAAGTGTTCTTTATCTCTGATATCACAATACATTTTGTAGATGCTTGCAATATATGTACTACATGTTGTATATGTAATACATATGTTTTTATGCTTATTACCTCCAGAGTGTACAGAATACAGACTCTGAGATTTGGTTTCTGGTGTGTCTGCATATGTTTGCTTGTATTTCCAAAGTTATTTCCACATGGTAGGCACGTCTGACATGAAGTAAAAATAATATGTCAAAGCCCAGGGTCTTTCTACTTACCATATTCCCTGACTTCAAACTGTGTAGATACATTCAGCTGCATCTAAAAATAGGAAACATCATAACATCCATTATATGATGAGTAACATGTACAGTATATTAAATTTTATTACATGTAAAAATAGAAGAAGCCTGGACACTAGGTCACCCCTACTCTTCTCGATAACTGTACTGTGTTAGCCCTGGGTTCTTTTTAATTTTACAGAGGACACTCTGACAATTTCGCTCAGAGGTTTGGCACTTGAGGCTTTGCCTGAAGCATACATATACTTTTCTAAAGGGTTAACGGAATTTGACCCGTATGGCCTACCTATGGGATTATATTTACATTATGTACCTCTGGACCATAGTGGGCAATAGCAGTCCAGTTTCCAAACAGGGGGAATGCTGGGAAGTCAAAGGTTTCCGCGATGAAGCCAGTTGCCGACCCTGGGAAGGTTTTCCGCTCAACAATGATTCCCTGGGGATTCTGAAACAACAGATTAAACATATTAAGGTGCCATGTCAAAAGATAATGGAACAAGAGATAAATTAATTTTAAAAGGCACATTCTCATCCCATCTTTGATAGAATAGTCTCTTAGTATGTTTCTTATACAGCAATAAGGGGTAGATGCCATACTCTGTACCTTGTACAACTGTTAAACAATAAATTTTCCTATCCACATTTTGAAATTGTTTCTCACTGTGCAAAGTAAAGACAGACTTACCAAAATTTCCAGTTTTACCTGAAAAAGATAGGAAAAAAGGGTGTTAACATCAACCACAGCTCTTGTGAATAATATTTTGTTGGAATATTAATATTACAGCAAATTTTGACAAGGACAATAAATTTTCTCAGTGTGGTGATACTAAATGGCTTTCATGTTTTCATACAGACATGTGTCATAATGTTGCTTGATGAACAGAAAGACTACTGTAGTACCTGGTATGCACCTTGTAGGAAATTCAAATAGATAAACAAATTTTAATACATTTCCATTTTAGGAATGTTTTTGTTGTTACTCACAGGCTGGCTTGCTGGGGTCATGTCCTGGTCAAGAGGCATGATTCTCATCTTCACTGCAATTCACAAAGAGGAAAATTTTATCACAATTATTTGTTTGATATTTGTCAATTAGAAATCTGAAAAATTATGCAAGTGGGGGGGAGTGTGTATTAACACCTTTACAAGTTGACCTCCCAAATGTTACAATCACTATTATATGTATGGTACACATTATTTATTAATTGATACTTCCAACTATTTCTTTAAAAAAAATGGCTAGGGTCAGCTTTTTTTTCTAGGTTTGGTCAAAACAGGAAACACAACCTTAGTTGCCTTTCCTAGGCATTAGTGAAGCATCATTAAGTCTACCTTTCTGGTTGGGAGTGTATATAGGCTTGTCGGTCTGCACGAAGACATAGCCTTGTTGGTTACTCAGCAGCACTTGTGCCTCCTTCTGGAAGGTGAGTTGCGGATCGTCGGACTTGGCCACCACGTAGACATAACGCTTGGTGGCCCTGCTCTCCGGTAGGTTGTCAGGATTCACCCTCACTGTCACCAGACTGGGCTCATCTTCAGGCAAACAGATTTTTATGATTAGTAATATCAATTTTGTTGTGATGTGTTGAGTTTAGTCATCCTCATGAGAGGTGAAGTATGGTGTTTTCTAGTAGCTATACCCTATACTTGGGCAATGTGGCTTCACTACACTACAGCATGATAATGTCAACTTCACATAAAAATATAAAGACATTTTGAAAAAACCTAAATAGTGGCAAAAAGTTTTCAAAGGTTTCTGACATAATGATTAACTGGTCAACATTGTTTATTACTTCAATTGTACATTTTGTACTTGGAAAACGGTGAGAATAATTTAAGTTGAGTTTACCTTGGCTGACATCGACCTCTGCCTGTGAGAAGGTGGTTTTTCTGTCTGGGTAGTCCTGAAGGTAAACCTTCACCCGTACAGGGTTGGCCACATTGAAGACGTTGACTGACACAGTCTCCTCTGTACCAACTTTCAGCAGGTTGGGGACAGAAATAAAATATGCTGGCCTGAAAACAACAGAGATAGACAGTTTTAGGATGCATAAAGTTGATTTTCCAGGGATGACAATTTCTTTCAATACGCCAAATCTGCTTCCAGGTTCCTGTCACTTTAAGTAACACGTTGCCTTTATGTTATTGAATCTGGTGTAAACAAATAAATTTGCATGAAGTTCCCGATATAACAGTAGCCAATCAGTAAAATCCATGTTTTGATGAATGGCAATTGCGTAACACATCCGAATCAGACTGCTTGCAATTCTTCCATATTCTGCTAGGGGGCTCTTGGTCAGACCCACGACCAGATGGCAAGCTTGTTTCCACCTTCCGGACTGGACCACTTTTTCCACCAACCCACAAAAGTACCAAAGTGGGTTGGCGTGCCTTTTCTGTGAGAGGTAGGAAGATTTTTTAAAGTCACTGTTAATCGTAGCTGGCGCAGTCTAATTCAATGTTAAGCATTGTTCAATTTGTTGCTAAATCATTCATGAAGCACATACTTCTTCCTAATATTATTTAATAGTCTTAGTCATACATAACAGATGTTGTTACATCACCATGTCACTTTACTTTTATAGGTTATAACATTGAAAACCCTTTCAAGTCACTTAAAACCTCTCAGCACTTGAAATGGAATAGCCCCTACTACACGCAGAAACGACTGGACTGCCCCCAAATCTGGCTAGACTGCGTTTTCCGCCGATCGGACTGAACTGCATTTTCTACCAACCCCTTCTATCCATTGAAGGCAACAAAATAAAAAACCCGAAGACCACAAAAACAACGTTAAGTTATTTAAAAAATCATGCTGCTTTTAATCTTTGTTATCTTGTGACTTGGACGATTGTTGCTAACATCGTAACGTCAGCACAAATCAAAGTCTTGAAATTATATCGGATCCTTGGAGTCAGTACTGGGAAAGTCCCCGGACCCTCATCAAGTCAAGGACCTTCAAATCTCGGCTTTTCGCCCTCCCTCTACATTCATCGTCCCTCCGAAGACGACAGGAAGCTACTGTTCCCCAGAAACCCCTTACCTGGCGATAAGGAAGTCTTAGAACGTGACTTGGAAGCGGCGTTGGAGTGCCGAGGCTCATCCTGTTTTGGTTTCTGAGAAGGGGCCAAGTACCATATGGGACCGTTCCATTCCACCCTGAGGGGTGCACCCTCAGTATCAAGATTAATCGATCTTGTGAATCCACAGAAAACTTTCTTGGTTGAACTGGCGCTACAAGACCTTAACCTTACATGTTAAGTCGACGAAAAAAAAAGGTGCACAATCCTGAGAAATTGTTATGGGTGTTTCGTAAAAAAAAATCTGCCAAATACTAACGTTAGATAAGTTATGATATGTTGTACGAAAGTAAACCTCAATTGTTCACAATATTCAGAGGCCGTCCGTGATTTTTTTTTTCTGGACCTGCAAAGCTTTGGAACCTGGAAATAGTCACTAGTTTGAAGCTACATTCTTTTTTATCTGTATTCCCCATCAAGTGAGCATTAATAGGACACATAACGTACTGTACTTCGCGCGCATGATCAAGGTGCAAGGCTAACGTTCGCACAGTCAATCTATTTTCTTTCTTGATGGGGTTACTGGCGGTCATCAAGTTGCGACCAACAAACACATTCAGTGACTAGTAACTTTACCGTATTGCAATATTTCCTATGGCATAGGAAAATAGGATTCTGTCTGTGGCAAGTAGTATAGAGTTCCCACAATTATGTATGCTTAGCCTGGTTACCAAACCTATTATAGCGCCCGAGCCCTACATCCTCTCCGCAAATTTGCGGAGACTCATATGCTATGAAAAAACGAGGATCCAATTCTCACAATTGCAACAATTAACGTTACAGTTTTCTCTGTATCGCAGAAACGAGAAGCCTGAAATAACGAGCTATGTTTTCTTCTTTCTCAGCAATTTGAGTTTTTTTTAATCATTATTGATCTCTATTCCCTGACAAGGTCAATGAAGTGAAGAAATGTAGCCTCTACCAGGCTTCGGGAGGCGGTCGGAAGACTCAGAAATTGGCCAAAGAGAGAGGTAACATGTCAATTACTACTAGAGTACTCTTTCTAGCCGCCTCCCGAAGCCTGGTAGAGGCTAGAACAAATGCGCATAATACAGACACGGTAAACAGACCAGAGACCACTCGAGACTGAACTTTGGAAACAGTGACATGAAAAAATCACATCCAGAGAAACGCGCAACATTAGACACAACTCATCGAGCTGAGAAGACAGTGGTTTTGTCTGTGTCTTTGTTTGATACAAACATAAAAATCTGTACTTCGACTTTTTATACGATGCCCTATTATAAAATATTAGAAGAAAATCGCTTGTACTGACAAGTAATTGTACAACTTACCCCTGCTGGCCTAGCACAGTAGAGGATAGGAGACATAAACACACCAAACCACGAATCATCGTAGCTGTTCTTGGTTACTCTCGGCAACACGGACCGGGACAAGTACTAGGCGCCTGCTCCGCCTCCAAGTTTCTTGGCCGAAATGTTCAGGCGGAACTCTTCCCCGCGTCTTTTACCCAGCTCAGCACACAGTCAGCAGTAAGTTAATGGTAAACAGGAAGCGGGAGGCGTGATCGTTGGTCTGATATTTGTGCTGACTTCGTCGGAATACGCCCGGCTGTGCGTGCCGTGTGTGCACGAAGGGACTGGTACCAGTACCAGGAAACTCCCCGGACCCAAGATTCATCCAAGAAAAGGGCATTAACCTACTCTCCAAGTAGAAGTTTGGGTTGGGGCTTATTTTTGGCGTGTTTACAGGAATTTTTTACGCCAAACCAACGTAAAAAAATTCCAGTGCAAGAAGAAACCCCCAAAGCCCGAAAACAGGCCAAAAATAAGCCAAATCCCAAACCTCTGCTTGGAGAGTAGCATTAACCCATTCCAAACAGATATGTGAGCAGAGCAGAAAAGAACGTGAGGATATAAGCCAAGAGGAAAAAGGTATCCCATGAAGTTATTGTCCACGGCCTTCGGTTCCCCCAAATATCTGCTTGGAAATTACAGGCCTCACACTGGCACGTACAGCTTTTGGCACCAGCAGCTAGCGGGTCCTTGGATTAATTTCCAAGCAAATGCCTAGCGGCAAAATCGTTACGGTTCAGAACTGTTCACCCAGAGGAAGTTCTCAGCCGCCAACACATACTTCCTCTAAAACTCGTCCATTTGTATTTCATTAATTGCAACTTACTAAAGGAACCACGAAGCGAATCTAACAGGTTGTGAGACACTGATCAAAAGCGCCCAATGGCGGTCAAAACAATCACTGCAGTAGTAGGCGCAGCAAGCAGTCCTTCGTTGAGCTGCTAGAAGCCGGGTTAATTTATACACAACTCTGTGTAGGCAGTTTCAAAAGTAACAGCCAGCTACATGTAGGAATACGTCTTGCAGATTAGGCCATACTGAATTGATTACTCTTATGACCAAGTTGTGAAACAAAGCTGACCTGTCTATTGTGGCCCTAGTAATGAGACCAAACTGATTCTCTACAGTTCCAAAACTGATCCAGGCATGCAAACAAAAACAAGGCAAAATAAAGTTGCTTTTATTGCGAAATCTAAGTTGTCAGGAAGGTTGGAAATGACTGAACACACAGAACATGGCATGCCCAACAATAAATTTGATATTTGTTCATGGATGAAGACTGTTACATATTAACATTTGCATGATTCATCCTTTCCTTCTTATACAGCTTCACACATTTAAATACAATTCTAACAAACTGTTAACAAAAGATGAATTACATGTACTTGTTGTTCGAGCCACATGAAATACTAGTAGTAGTACTTTTATAAAAATCACTTCAGATCATTCCCTAACCAATAAAATTACCGCGACTCTGGAAACGTTTGTGATGGATTTATCCCGTTTTGCAATGACTTCCCCATCATGAATTCCTGAAAATGCGAATATGCATTTCCAATGTATTACAACATTTGCTTTTCATTCTTTTTTTTTTTTTGTGTGTGTGTGTGTGTGTGTGTGTACGGTGCATGTATTACTATAATAATGGTTTTATCCCCCTCTAATGGATATGGGGTCTAACTGTCTCCCTGTCCTTATATACAGTGTCCTTATGTCTGTTTCTTCCCAGCCTTCTTGACTTTCTTGACCTTGGCGACTCCTGGAGGTGTCTTGAAAGTTATCTCAGGGTCAGAGCTGTCCAGCATGAGTGTGACGGGAGACTGTTCAGGTTTCTTGGCTTGTCCTGACTTGGGGACCTTAGGAGAGACGGTGCCGGCAGCTTGCAGTTTAGCCTTCTTGGCTATGTCATCCTAAACAAAGGGAAAAACATAAATATTGGGTTTGTTTGTTTGCTTGTTTGCATATATACAATGAAAAGAGGATAGAAAAAAGAGGGGGGGGGGGATACAAACTCAGCCTGGGATTGTGTTCTCGACACACCTACATCGGCTACATATAGCAGGGAGAAGCAGAACTCGACAGAAGCTCAGAAGAAGGTGTCTGATAGACATCAAAATGTAAGCTAGTTAAGAGGCAACCTTTATGTGTAAAAGAAAACCTAATAGTATGTTTTACCAACCTGATGAAACTATTTTCAGATATATACAATGACATTAAAAACATGGTAAATGAAGGAGAAAAACAGAATCATTACTTACATAGCCACTGAAGTCGTACTTGATCCCCAAGGCTGCATACCTCCTCTTCCTGCCCTGATCTTTGGCTGCCAGACGCACGGCTGACTGCAGGGTTGCTGCAGCATCCTGGGTAAAACAAAACAGAACTATTAAAGCTGACAAGTGAAAGATGTGCAAAATCACCTTTGGACAATAATGCATCTGATATTACATGTGACATAAGACAAAAATAACTTTATTGCACGACAGAGTTGTACACAGCACAAATTCATTTTACAATGTACAATATGTAACACTGTAAATTCATTCTATTTTTGTTGGGATTCAACTTCTAGAAGTAGGCATAGAACTACAGATTTGGTGCGCCTATGTGCCAACATTGCCACCAAAAGCCATGACACTTTTTTTACCTTGGGTTTGTTGTGTTTCCTTATGGCAGTGGATCGTCTGGTTGGTTTGTGGAACTTCCTGTTCCATCCGTTAAATGTCTTGGGATGCAGTCTCTCAACTGGTATAAACTCACCTACAGGACAGAAATAAACAAACAACTTCCATCACGTTGTACGTTCATCTGGTTTTCACAATACACAGAAAGATCCACTGCGTTTTACAGCTTTCTCTCAGAAGGACATGAAGCTGTAATTTGAGAACATTAAAGAACCCACACACTTATCAAAACGATTAGGCTAGAGGTCCTTCCCGAAGTGAGTGGTTCAAACCTTACAGTTTGGTCACTCAGGTGACATTTTGAAAAGGTGATAATTACCTGTTATGTCAATCCTTCCACAATTTCCATATGGTAAATCTCAATAGATATATGTATGGGGGCCTGCATGGGGGGGTCCCGACAACGCTCTACGCTGAATTTGGAAATCTCTCGATTACGCTTTACGATAAATTCCAAGTGGCTACAACCCAATACGTAGAATTAAAACGGCTAATACGCTCTATGCAAAATGCGCCAATTACGCTCTACTTTTTTTATTTATTTATCCATCTTGAAGACATATGAGTGGTCCGTTGAATTAGAGCGGCCCGTCTTCGCTCTACGTAGAATTAAAACGGCCGATTACGCTCTAGGGAAAAGGGCATGCAGGCCCCCATGTATATCCCATAGGTACTCACATTTTAGCAGTTTTTCAAACATGAGGTAGTTGTTCATGGTCTCAGCCACAACCTTGGCCACCTCCTCACACTCAAACTCTATGTAGCCATACCCCTTGGAGCCACCAGTCTGAAATGTGAACTCAACATTTAGTGCTAGAAATTAAGAAAGGCATTTAGGATTCTTTTTTACGTACACATTGTACTACTACAGCTGATTTAGACATGGGCAAACAAGTGCGAAATCTGTGTGCACATGGGCGCAAACAAAAACTGCATACGCCAAATTTTTCCTGCATGTAAATCGGCCTGTTTTGACGTAATTCGCTACCTACCGACCTTAATTTTTTCAGAACTGAAACAGGAAACACAACATTTTTTCCTAGTCCTTACCTTTTTGCTTCTTGCCAGTCGTACTCTTGAGACTGTACCAAACTGGGAGAAAAACCTCTTCACTTGCGGTTCAAAGAAGCCATGTGGAACATGGCCGACATACACCACTCCGGGGCGCAGGACTTCTGCCTGAAACACACAGTACCACAACAGATCAGAACAGGCTCTGCATAATTTTCTTACACTTTTCGGTAAATTTTATTTGAATGTTCAGAAGTGCCCCCCCCCCCCTTAATATACCGAACCATTTGCCATATTTCTATCTGTCACAGCGGAAATAGGCGCCACAGAGTCAGACCCCTTGTACATATTTGCCCGTGCCCTTATCCTAAACTTTTGGGTACTATAATTTCACAACATCAAGGCTAAAATAACAGTAACGTTAGCCACATAGCCACATGTCCACATGTCGTGAACGAACTTGCACCTAGCCTCTTGCAAGCCAGAAAACGAGGAAATTACTCGATTTTTTTACAAGAATCTATCACAAAATCAGTCCAAAGAAAACTCCAGGACGGGTCTGGAGATCTCACCTGTTTTATTTTGCTAATCCTTGTCCGTAATTCCTTCTCCTTGCCTTTTTCGAGGGGCACCAAGTCCGCTTTCGTGTTCCATGTGCTCGTTTCGGACGCCATGATGATGATGATGGGGATTTAATTCTGCCCAGCAGCTCTATGGAGATAATGAAGTTAAACTCTACTTACTTTTACATGTTATAACTGATGACATTGCAAGTTTTTGTGCTCAATAAGATGTATAACGTAATATTAAGTCTAAAATATACTAATTTGTAGAAAAAAATGTTAGCTCTGTGTGGTTGAAAAGAAAACTGGTTGCTGAAATTATCCGCGGAGTTCTGCAAAGTCTGCCCTGAGTTCGAGATTACCCCACGTACCTGGGAACGAGTTGCCTAGTAACCGTAGTGTACACGGTGAACAAGATGGCGAAGTTTGTCATTGCAGGTACGAGTTGGTGCGCGATAATCGTAGTATTTCTCTGATCTGTACTTGCGTTGCCTGTTCTGGGTACCACACCACAAAATTTCACAGGAGGCTGGTCCTCTCTATTCAAGTATCTACTTGTGTCGTTCATTTTAGAGATGAAAATCGACATCTGATTTGCCTGAAGTGTCTAGAAAGTAAGGAAGAACGCCCTCCCCTGTGCCAAACTAAGATACAATGTACATGTATCTACTCGAAACTACTTGCTTCAACTGTTACATAAGGGACTACCTGTAGGGTCTGCTTTAGGTGCTTTATTAGGGTCAATTAACAAGGAATAAATAGTTAATTTTTCAGATGCCTCCTTCCATACTCTAATGACCATGTAGGAGCAAATAATTATGTATAAAGCAATGAGCGAGCGATAGGTTTTTTCTTTGTGTTGAAACTTGTATGCCATGTTGGTTATTGACTACAGGTGAGGCTAACTGCCCCTACTATGCCAAGGTGGAGTTGCTGGCTGACAGTTTACAGGCAAAACTACCAGACTTCCATGTGCACAAAATAGTCAAGACTCCAGAGGAATGGAAGGTAATTACTGTGTTAGGCCTAGGAAAACAAAATGTTCTGTTTCCTCTTTCCCGACTGACCCTGGGACTGACCATAGGGAAACCTGCCAACCCTAGGCTTTTTTGTGTGAACCCCTGCAAGGGTCTGGGACATAAATTTTTGGAGCTGATCAACCTTTTATAGCTCTCCATGATCTGACCTGAGTGATGAAACATTGTACGATCGGTTTTCCAACACTGATATTGAAATTATAAGTGACAAGAAGTAGAGGCGAGCGATTGCCTGTTTTGTCTCCCCCTACATTGTGTTTTGTCCTAATGGAAAATCCAAATATTGAAATAGAGAAATAATGTGTCCTCATGCAAGTTTTGTTAAACCGTATTGTATGTATAAGTTGACTCTCTATATGGAGATCGCCTTGATGGGTCATCTTGGACAACTTTGAGTGTAATTTCAAGTTTAACACTGTCTCCCTCCATGCTGTTTTTCCCTAGCCCTGGCTACAACAGCTGAGTACAGAAAATGGCTGGTCCCATGCCAGATCCCCCATCGTCTGGAGAGAACTGGTGGACAGGGGTGGGAAAGGTCTACTCATCGGTGGACACAATGACTTCATGGAGTATGCAAGGGTAAGATCATCAAAACTTGTGTGTACTGTAAATCACTTTTATGTTCACGGTAGCAAGAGTTCACAGTCTGAGAAAAATGGACGTGTTTGCAGAACTATGCATTCGTGGTGGCGGCAGGTGCAGAAAAAAGAAAGTCAATGAATTATTTGTTCACGGTAATGATAGGATTGCATTTCAGAACTGAAGGCGAAAATAGTGAATATAAAAGTACTGCAAAAACTCGTGATTTACAGTATGAATTTACAAATGTATGTCTCTGTTGCAACTTTTGTCTGTGGCTGGAAGGGTTGCAAAGCAGTGTGGGTAAGGAGGTAAAGTCTGCCAGCTCTGATTGCCTTTTTTCTCTCATGTTCCCTCCACAGTCGTACTATGGCATGACATCGGACATGCTGAGTCAGATGATGAAGAACATCGCGGCGGAGAATCTCGCTGTCACGAAGGAGCTCCGAGAAGAGGAGGAAACCATCCGGAGACAGAGCAAACCGCTTCACGTCTGCGTCGTCAACGCGGCGCGATCCCCCGCCTACCACGTGCTGCCGTCTCTCGTGAACGGCGAGATATTACGCGAGGAAGAAATCGCCCTGCACCTGTACGATTCCACCGAGAACTTGGAGACACTGAAAGGCCTGGAGATGGAGGTTTTCGACCTCTCCTACCCCTTCCTGAAGGAAGTATCAGTGACAACAGACCTCCCCACAGCCTTCCAGAATGCACACATCGCCATCGTTTTTGACGATTTTGACCAAGGCGGAAAGGAAGACGCTATCGGTGATATGGAGGCAAAAGTCTCGTTCTATAAATGTGTTGCCGAGGCAATTAATCAAACTGCAAACAAAGACATTCGAGTGCTGGTAGCGGGCACAGGGCCTTTGAACTCATTGGCCAGTATCCTTATTGACCACACCCCGTCCATTCCGAGACAGAACATCGCAGCTGTGGCACAGGTGAAAGAGAGGCAGGCTAAGTCGCTGCTGGCAAAGCGACTGGCGGTGAATTCTGCCGGAGTCTGTGACGTGATTGTGTGGGGGAACGTCGGAGGCACCACGTATACAGACGTGTCGCGAGCGAGAGTGCATGGGTATGATGGAGCTATCTGGGGACCGCCAAGGTGAGACTGATTAGTCAAACTATATGGAATGTACTACCCGTATCATGAAAGCTCATCTGTGTTGGTAGTTACATGTTTACCATTAAAACTTTTGCTCCAACACAAAGATACACATTGTGTAACACACTCACTATCCGGTTTATTGTCTGTTGTTCCCTGTCATCTGAGGGTTAGACATGCTTGCACACTGATGCTGAGGCTTGATGGCATCCCACCATTTGCCTCTGTCCTTTGGGTTGATGTTAGGCAGGTTCCATAATACTGTTCCACATTTCACAGCTACTCCTGCTCAGTGTCAGAAATGGTCCATGACAACAAGTGGCTGGAGGGGGAGTTCCTGGAACAGCTGCAGAGTCGCTCCAACACTACCCAGGATTCCCTGCAACACCCCGCAGACCTCTCCATGGCCGCCGCCATCTCCAACACCCTCAGCTATTGGTGGAATGGCTCGCCCGAGGGACAGCTTTTCTCATTGGCTGTGTGCTCAGAGGGTGAGACACCTTTTTAGGTCCAAGGCACCCAAAGTGATTTCAAGGTAGTAAACTGAATTTTCAATTATGTAGTATTAACATTTCTAAGTTTGAACTGTGATTGACAAGTGCTACTCTCTGTGATTGACAGGTTACTACAATATCCCAGAGGGCGTGGTCTTCTCCTTCCCGGTCATATTTCACAAAGGCTCATGGGAAGTGGTTCAGGACATTGACATGAATGAGGACATGAGGGTCATGCTGTCCAGCATCACAGCGCAACTTGTGGAGGTGAGTTTTAAGTTGGGTCATACCAATTCAATCACTGCTGGTTCTCCGATTGACTCGCTCACTCACTCACTCATGTAGCTCACTCACATAGCTCACTCACTCATGTAGCTCACTCACGTAGCTCACTCGCATAGCTCACTCACTCACTCATGTAGCTCACTCACATAGCTCACTCACTCATGTAGCTCACTCACGTGGCTCACTCGCATAGCTCACTCATGTAGTTCACTCACATGACTCACTCACTCACATAGCTCACTCACATAGCTCATGTAGCTCACTCACGTAGTTCACTCACATAACTCTCTCACAAAACATTTAAGTATGTTGACTTCATGGTTCATAGCTTTTGGACCTATCATATGCAGGTCTGAGGTATCAAAATATCCTAGCTTGACACAGGAAAAAATACATGACATGTACATGTTAGTCCTTGGTGAAAAAAAAGTACCATACAACACATTTTGAAGCAAGTGATTTCCTTACAGCAAAGTTTTGTCTTGACTGGTGATTAAATTTTGTTCTTTAGGAAAAGGATCTCCTCCTACACCCAACCAACGCTAACCACGAGAAGCTACTGAAGGTGTTTGGAGTTACCCCGGACGTTTCTTCACAGCCTTCCTCCGTCAAACTAGACAAAATCATGGAGGAGACGGAGAAATCTTCATCTGAGGAAACACCTGAGGTTACTGCTGTTAGTGCTGGAGAGGAGGCAACAACAAGTTAAACTTGAAGTTAAAGGGCAGGCAACCAATGCAATTTCCAGGCGACAAAACTGGATTTTTTAGTCAATTCTCAGTCATTCTTAGTTAAAGTGGAATCAACCCTATCCCATAGCAGACTGATATCTGTGAGGCAAAAATGTGATGTCACTGACGAATGACAGTTGCTTGTTTTGTATCATAGGCTGGTTCTAGCTATTTATGGCTGGTACCCAAAAAATAAAGAAGCCTCACATGGCTTGTTTTGGGGCTATTTCAAACACTTCAAGTATGAAAATAATGATGATGAAAATCTGCTAAGAATGGCAGTAAGTGTAAATATTCAGATTTCTTCATCCAGAATATTTTTTTCTGCTTTGAAGTTACTTTCATTTGGTCCTTAGGAAAAGATGTACAATGTAAAGGCTATGAAACAATCTATCTCAAAAGCGTTCATGTGAATAGATCAGACTGCATTTTCTCATTGTAAATAGGGACATAAATTGGTGAAAGAGGGTCTGCATGAAGGTAGGGGCAACAACTCTTTATGCTAAATTCAGTAGGACCACCTACGAATTACGTCAATCACAAAAAATATGGCTATCTCACTACAAATTACAGGGATAAAAAAAGGCCTTTCATATGAATCACGGCAACTAAAAAGCAGCTTGCCTATGCCATATAAAATGATGTTGTACATGTAATAAAGACTGTTAAAAGCACTTATCTCTGAAGCTGTTAGAATACAAGACCTATTTCAAAGACTCACTGTAAGTACAGAGGGATACTTGTACATAAGTCATGTGTTTTTTGCATGTTCCATTGACAAGGTTGCTTTGAATGAATTGAATGTATATACCCCACATCTACAAATGTACATGCAAAATTGGTCCCTTTGGTGGGTACTAACAATTCATCTCTTTTGTGTGTGTCAAGATTTTGTTCTTGAAATAAAGTATGAAGAAAAATGAACTGTCTAATTCTCATACATAGCTATGTAGTGGTGTAGAGATACATGTACATGTATTTGTATTGCCAATTGTTAATGTAGAATTTTGCCTGTTACAGACGATATCTTTTCCGACGCAACATTTGTACACTACAGACGGGATGATAACCGTACCAGTATGTGCGCGAATACAGCCTTATATGAGACGTTCTGCCGAAGTGCTATACACGATACATTACAGGTTTCGCGCAGGTGCAGTACGTTCTGCCGACATACTAATAACACAGGGTCTGTCATGAAACAGGAAAAACAAAACATTTTTTCCTAGGCCTCACTCAGCTGCATGTAGAATAGGTTCAGTTTACACTGCTGGAATGACACAGGAGTCATCTGATAACTTTAGGTTGCCTCAGGTTGCCCAATACTTCAGCTGCACTCACATAGGCTGTTGTTGGCAAGAGTTCATCCCTGCGGTCTGCCAAGTATCTGCAAGAAAACATTCCAACATTAAAGACCTGATGGCACAGAAAAAAGTAGATAAAAGTCACTATGCTCACCCGGTGGTTTATTCGGTGGTCATTGCACCTGACCAGGGATTATCTCATCATGTACACCTCGGGGCAGGGCATTAGCCTTTTATTGACTAACATACATTATACATGTATGAAATTTTTTTTAGAAGAACAATTTCTGAAAGTAATTGTTAGGGAAGACAAATAACAATACTTACTTCAGGAAAAGTTGCAAATGGTAACACAATATCTTAGACTTGACTTCAGGAAGGTGCATCTTGCCAAGTAACTCGGGAAGTTTCACTGAAAAAGACAAATGTGAGACAAATTTAACATTATGTAACCAAATATCCTGCCATGGTTAATGCATTACACATTTACTGTAAATAATTTCATCGGGTCGGTGAATGTCATGACAGTTTCTTTGATCATTTCGACGGTCTTTGGCAACGACATGCAGAGACAACAGAGTAGCCTCTTGTGCTACTTACCGAACAACCTAAGCAGATGCTGTGCTCCGTACACTAGAGAGGGGGGATTCTGTCCATCCTGATTGAAATCATCTGGTAGAAGCTTACACATCGCTTCATCCAGCAAAGCCTTGTGTTCTACTTTAGCCTCTGCTGCCGCCGTGTCTACACTGGAGAGTTTGTCTGACATGTCCACTGCTGGTGCAGTCTCCCCAGGGGGAGGGGGAGGGGCGGGGATGAGGGGCGGGGGGGACGGAGTCCGAGTCTCCGCCTGTCTGGCGGTCGCCGGCGGTTGGGCGTGGCTGATGCTGGAATGGCGACGTTTACGTTGGGTGGGCGGGAGAGACAAGGCGGGCTCCTGGTCCGTTGAAAAGCGACGTGAACGTCTCAGACCGTCTGGTTTGGAGGGCGTTGTCTGACCTTGACTGACCTTCACAGTGGAATCTCTGAGCGGGTAAGTGTCGTGTCCTGCAGGGGACCTGTGGGCCTCCTGACAGATGGGGGATTGACTGGCCGAGCGAGTCACTCGTATTTTGGGGGGAGGGGGGGTAGCAGCGTGGTCTGCTCTGTAAAACAACAACAAATCAAAACTGTTACCACATAGATTTTTACCTTCGCCAAGAAGGTTATGCTTTTGGTGGCGTTCTTGTGAGTGTGTGTGTGTGTCAGTTAACAAGATAAAAAGGCTTAGATGGATTGTCTTGATATTTGGTAGGTGGGTAGGTCTGGGTAAGACCTCAAAATGATTAGATTTGGATGCCCCTAATGGCTTGTTATGGTACTGCAGTGGAACTTCCGGAAGAAATTGAAGAATTTTTATAAGGGAGAAGGTGGTACATACTCTGTCTGTACTGCTGATGGTGTGAGGGGAATGAAGGTACGAGTGGCCATCTGTGTGTGTTGGACCTGGTACATCAGGGTTAGTGTTAGTGTTAGTATAAGACAGTAGGGAGAAGGTTGTACGTACTCTGTCTGTACTGCTGATGGTGTAAGGGGAATGAAGGTACGAGTGGCCATCTGCGTGTGTTGGACCTGGTACATCAGTGTAAGTGTTAGGGTTAGTATAAGACAGTAGGGAGATGGTGGTATGTACTCTGTCTGTACTGCTGATGGTGTAAGGGGAATGAAGGTACGAGTGGCCATCTGTGTGTGTTGGACCTGGTACATCAGTGTAAGTGTTAGTGTTAGTATAAGACAGTAGGGAGATGGTGGTACGTACTCTGTCTGTACTGCTGATGGTGTGAGGGGGATGAAGGTACGAGTGGCCATCTGTGTGTGTTGAACCTCCTCCTCCTGGTACATCAGTGTGAGGGGCAGGATGAAGTCAAACATGATGCGCACGCCATCCACAATTTCCTTCACCAGGTCCACACTGCAGGTCATAAAACACAAGGCACATGCTGAGGGTTAGGCCATACACTTCATTTTATGGATGACATCCTCTGAAGACTGCCAAACTAGTGAATAAAAAAAATTCCAGCCCCACCAAAAATGCAGCTAAACCACAGCACAAGAATACATCTGTACAAAGCTGAATTTGCACTTACATTGCGACTTTGCCAACAAACCGGCACATGCAGCAAAAAAATATCATATATCTTGTCGTAAAATAAAAATATCTAGACAAGGAGACAAGTTTGCATGTATGTTTCTCAAATTGCACGTAAAATGTTTGCCAACATGCCAACATGCAAGTAACCAGAAAACCAGAGGATTAAACTGCAAGACGCCCGTACTTCCGTTCCGGAGGTGGAGCCCTGGTAGAGTGGACGTTGGTGGGGGTGGGGAACTTGGCGACAAACGGTTGGGCGGCTCGGGACAGTTGGTGATGTAGTCTGTCTGACACGGACGTTCCCTTCGCCGCAAAGAACCGGAGATAGTTCTCCAGGATCGTGATCACGTTGGGTTGGCATGGCAACTGGACCAACTACAGGAACATGAACAGTAAAAAACGAACACGATTCATCATGCGAGAAGAGTTTGGAGAAGAAGAAACAGAGCAAAAACAATGTTTTCCTTCTGCGAAGGTAAACATAATTAACCTTCTCCCTGCTGCCCAACCCTAAAACTAAATTAAATACAGGTTTGGTATCAAAAGGCTACATAAGCAGGGAGAAGGTTAAAGTTAAAGACAGTACCTTTCCCCTCTTGCATATCATGATGTGATCTTCCTCCAGCCTGTCCTTCAGAACAGCCGGAATGTCCACTGGAATCTCAGTAGGTTCTTCCTCAGAATCCGCCGTGCTGGGCTAAAGGAATGGTACAGATTTCAAATTCAATGTTAAAATGTAAATGTAAAGTTGTACATTATTGAACAGTTGTACATTATTATTACACAAGCTCTCGGCCGGAGGTTAATGCTGGCCACCATGAGCGCGATTAGTCAGGCTAATTGAACAGAGGAGATATAAAAAAGCACAGAAATGAGAAAAGTTTTACCCCTTCCACATCAGATAGATCTTTCTCCGATGCAGTTGTGAAGGACTCTGATGTTGTACTGGTGTTGTCTGGAACAACTTGGGAGGCTGAAGCACAGAAGACCACATAGCCAAGTTGCAATTAGTTGCATAATCTGGACTCGTAAAATCACAGTGACAGTCCTAAAATCTTGTCTTCTTTCTATACTTACATCCAGCCGATCTCCTCTTGGCTTGGCGGATGTTCTCCCTCCTCCTCTGCTCTTCTTCCTGTTCGATTTCTCGTAAGACTTCTGTCTCCACACCTGGCAGACGGCAGCGTTTACCCTGCTTCGCTCTTTTTGCCTTCTTTCTGTAAGTGAGAAATGTATATGTAATTCTGCCCAGTAGATTTTTATAATAAAACTGAAACTGGAAATTGAATTGAACTAGTAATACATACTGAACTTAATATGTGTATCAGGCTCACATTTTTGCCAGAGCCTCCTTGGCGAGTTGCTTCTGTAGGATTCTGTTCTCTTCAGTGTCCTTCACCACATGGTCTTCTGTGGCCCAGCGGTCCCAGCTAGTCAGAAAAAACAAACAAGAAGTCAAACATGTCATACCTCGTGAAATATATAGTTTTCCCAAATTTCTTGTCTGATTCATATCGTAAAATTCTTTGTCTACCTCTCCATACGCATTTCCCCACTAGCATCATGCAGCATACTAGTAGTAAGCAACAACTTCTTGCTGGCCTTCTAGGACCTTACTTCCTGTGTCTGACCTTTTGTGGTATGTACTAGTAGGTAGTGCCACAGCAAGTAGCTATATTACATCGAACATGTCCTGACAGAGGGGTTGAAGTCTGCTATCTCTTATTTTGACCATGTTTGTACACCACACTGACCTGCTGTTCCAGCCCTTGAAGTGGATGAGGTATTCAGGCACCTTCCGATTTTTCTCATCTCGGGTTATATCAGCCTCGATGATCTGAAATTCAGGAACAGATCAAATGAATTACAACCAAGCCAACTGCAGATTTCTGCTGATACATGTTACTAGAGGATGACTGATGAACTTCAAGTAGAAAACTGACCCGACAAATCATTTGTCTTTGTTCTTTAATACTGGTAATTTTAGTTAGCCAACATCCACCGGGATTCAGTGGTGTCAATTCCAACATCCGAATTCAGTGTTCAAAGTTTTGAAAGCGGCACACTCGGTGTGCGCAAAATGAATTGAATTCGAATTGAAATTTATTCTATGGAACATTTGGAAGCCCGTGTGATAACAAAAGAGAACCCCGGGCTGTACCGCTTAATACGTTATCACACGGGCCGGGAACACCTGTATCGAACGTTATCACGGCCCAGGTATGACATGAATTTGTATATCACCTGTTACATAGCCACTGGGCGAACTGGAAGTAAATAGTTTGGACGAAGCGAACTTGGGGGAGCCACCTAGAAAACCTATGCACCCCCCCCCCGCAACCTTTTCAAAACAAATGCCCCCCCTCCCAACACACACATGGCAGGAGTAAGGAACTTTGGCATTCCCAAACTATGATGTAACGTTAGTATTTTAAAAAGTAACAACGCCTAGAGTTATTCCAATGCAGGGGACACATACACAGACTCATTAGGTTATCGCTGAAGATCTATGACTAATGTTAAAGTCTTTCTACTTTGGTGAGTGGGAGCCTGAGTGGGAGCCAAAAAAATTATGGCGTGGGAGGGGGGCACGGGTCTAGTCTCACCTTCGCATCGTAAAGAACTCTGGCTTTCGTAGGATCGGGCTCAAAACACAGAATCCTCTCGCCGACCCTGTAATTAAATATAACGCCGCCACGGGCGCCTGACATGGCTCTCTGTTGATGTTTTGCGTTCAGGAACGCGATTCTTTATTTGTGCAGAGAGAAACAGCTGCGATACACTCACTCTTTGAAGTTTGAGTGGGCTGTCAGTAAAGATAGCCGCGTATTCCAGGAAACCATTCGCACCAAAATTGGTATTCACTTTGAAGGTCATTATCACTTTAACTGACTTTTGTAATCTTTACAAAACATCAAAAGGTATTTTTCACATACCATGAAGGAATATTACTCGAAAATATGAGTGACAAAGTAACAAGGTAATTCTTGAAACTCCGCGGATAAAATAAGTCTTTGCTCTACGGAGTAAATTCAAATGTGCAGTTTAGCCATTGGGGCGAGGTACGCATGCGTGTGACGTCACCGTTCTAATAATAGTCGCAGGAAACCGCTACAGAAAGTGGCTGAAATCTGGCTCAAGTAGAGACTCGGATCATGATGGTATGTCACTTTTTACTCCCTTTTCAGAAATCGTAACGATTTTTTTCCCCATTCACAGGTTGACAAAGACTTTGGTTGAAGAGATCCTGGAGTTTGCCGTCGTTTTTGAAATTCAGGGGCGCCGAAATCCCGCTAAGCCGGGCGGCTTGATTTCTGGTAGAGTGGGGAGGGCGATGATCATACATCCGTCCATACTTCAAACAACATCCGTACTTTAAGATGACTATAAGGCAGGGCATGGTTCTCCTCTGTCGTTCTCGACAAACTGGTATGTCCAACGCCTGACGGTAGATCCGTGCTGCGGGTTTGAGAGAAAACATATAACCTGATTTGTTCGGACGGGAAGGCAAACAAAAGTGTAAACACAGCAAGAGGTCGCGCGCGCTTGTGACTTATGCCATGTAACTTACATTCTTCTACAGCAGAATTATACGTCTTGTACGCACAAGACACTGATCTCTGAAGTTTGTCTCGGTGCCATTTATATCCTAGGTCCCACATCTCATTCAGATCTTACTATAGTCTCTGGGAGTTTAGCTGAAAAATTTGTAACGGACGTTTTAAGTGAAAGTGACTAGGTGCAAATATGCATAGCGAGCCACACTGTTGAGCCACACTGTTTGACTTTAGATACTGCCTACTGGACATCGACTAGCCAACTGCTGAAGTCCTGGAGGGCGGCATTTTTAACAGAGTCCATCTTAACAAACTAACCTAACTTAGCGAGAATTGGCCCCTGTTTTGCATCCGTGGGTGTTAAAATGTAGGGGATGTCCTGTGTGATACCAGCGTGTGTAATTTTGTAATTATATGGATAGGCCCATTTCCGAATGATGTCATCTCTCGCCGAGCTGGTTCCAAACTACCGTCCCTCCAATTTATGTTCCTCTGGGCGTTAAATTGCCTCCGTCATTAAGAAAAGGACTTGTATGCATTGTTTGATCTCTCCAGTGATCATACCTTTTGTGTATTACAGGTAACAGTTTTGTCTGTTTTACATTCTAGCAATTTAGCCTATTTTTGTTGTTAACAACATGGAGTTAATTGACTGTAATAAAGTAGGTTGACCTGACTGTTCAGACAACGGGGTATTTAAATGGAGACGATAATTTCGACACACAACTGTGAACAAAATGGCAACAGGAAGGAGGGAAACTGCACATAGAATAGTGTTGTCTGAACATGAATTTGTCAACCACCATAAACCGTCCTATAGAGTAAACATAAAGCAGCAGTTCCAGCGTCAAAACATGTTTCATGGAAAAGGGACAGTTGTAAGTACAGTCTGTATGGCATTACTTTGACTGGGCCTTTCTTGTACATTTTGTACCAGTGCTCAAAATACTTTTTTCTGGTTACATGCACCAGATGAGCTCGTAAAGTTCTATATAACTATAACTAGTACTAGTATAAGTTCCTGTTCTAGACATCGACTAGCCAGCTGCTAAAGTGCTGGATCTAGTCTTTCTTCCTGTTGGTTGTTGGTGTTGTCTCGTCTTTCTGCACTTAGTAGCATCACTTGCATAGATGTGTTTGCTTTCAGTTGGATTCTTTGTACTTCACCCTTTCCTGTCCTTTGTACTGTTGCCCTTTTCACCTGTAACTAGCACCCTAGTTGTGTCCACCTTTCATAAGGGCCACACTGAATTTTATGGATGACATCCTCTGAAGACCCCCAAACTAGTGTGTGCAGGCGAGTAAAAAAATTCAACTAAAATGAACTGAAATACCACTTTCTTTGATTTGCATTCAAAACGACCGTTGAATTTTGGTTCCGCTAGCTTATACAGTAGTATGATATGGGTCTTTGCATGCAATTTGACCAAATTAGGTACCAGTTAAAACATACAGAAACCTGCAATTTATTACATGTAGCAGGTAAATGTTCACTCAATATGTTTCCTTCTGGAAAATTCAATAACAGTTACTTTTGATAGATTGAAACTTTGCACATTGCAAGCTTCTTGATAAATCCAAAGGTTGTTTTGTGAAGGTCAATCAATATTCTATTTTTGTGGTGGGATCCGATCGTTACACCTTCAACTAAGTTGATAACGTTATCTGTTGGCCTGTTTCATTGATTTTCAGCTCCTGATGTAGTCAAAGGAAGCTTGCAGTCGGGTTTCAGTAAGAACTGAAGGTTTGTTAATGTATAGCTTACTGGTATCACCCAATGCAAATGTTGACACAAGAAGTTGCTATTAGTTTGATAAATGTTGACTAGAGTCCACCAGAGATAACAGACCCAGATAGGGTTACAGTTATATTGTCTTCAAACAATTTTTGATACCTCCAGTCTACTTTGACAGCTGTTATATTTTCTTTTTAATTACGTACATTTGAAACATTGAGATTTGAAAATAGGGTTGTTATCCCAACAAGGTTTAATTTAAACCTTGGATATCCACAAAGCTAATGTACAGTATTATTGTTTCAGACAGAATAATCCAGTTGATCGTTGTGTGTTTGAAGTGGGGTGTTAGAATTCTTCTACCAAACAAGGCTCTTGGACCAAGTCATTCTAAGCAACATTACTACTACTAGCCAACTACTACTACTACTACTATATATACAACAGGAGGCTTTCAAGTGCATTTTGCAGCATTAAGGCAGTATGACCAAATATGGGCATCTGGTTACTCCTCCAAGCAGATGTTGTAGGGAGGTATCCAGACTACTGACGCAGTATCGGTCTTTCCATCATTTGAGGAAATTTTGTCCAAGCCATCATCTTTAGTAGACCAAAAATTGGTATGTTAACATGGAAAGAGATATCATCAAAAATTAGTAAAAATTTGCCCCACGAAATGCAGGAAATAGTGTTTCAGTGGGTCAAGATTTCAAAATTTTCCCAGGGGTGCATACCCTTTGAAACACTATTTCCTGCATTGTCAGGGATAAATTTTGCTGGTAGACTTAAAGTTTGATGACATCTAAGCTTAGTATGATGACATAATTGTTCCATATCCTTATACGATTATTATTGTCCGTCAAAGATGATTAATTGGGCAAAATTTTTGTCCGTCATGAGTAGCAAAATCCCATCAAATGACGGAAAGACAGAAGTTGGCTAGAATGTTGCTCTTGAATAGAATGAAATGTATTTAGCGTGTTATACTGTGTTATGTCAACCAATTGGTTGAACCATTGTTGTAGTGATTATACCATTTTCCACTGAATGATTACATTGTCAAAGATGACAAAAGAAATGCTTTTGAAGGATCAGCATTGGCCTATCCTAATTGATCCCCTGTTCCATGATATGATTTATGATCTGCTATTTCAAAAATCTTGTGCTCTTATGATTTTTTTTTCACATTCAACCTCCTTGCTGGTTCAGACATATTAATATTTTTGTTTATTTTGTGGCAGTTTCAATTGTCTCGTATTTCTCCATTTCATTGATTTCAAACAGGAAAAAAGGCCAATTTTGGCACAACCAGTAATATTTCTTTATGAAATCATTATGAATATGATTCATATGCAGACAGTGTCAGAGGCTCAGTTGGAATAATGAACAGTAAGGCCTTGGAAAAAATGTTGTGTTTCAGTCGTGTAAAAGGGTCGGTAGGTAAGGTTAGGGAAACAGGAAACACAAAATTTTTCCCCTGGCCTAATACTAGTAATAAGCAATGTTCATGATCTATTGACTGTCATGACAGGAGCCATCACTCATCCAATTTGCTCGTAACATTAAATTTCACCTTCATTTATCTACACGCCATGTGTTCTGTTACTGTACAGTAATTCCAGGGCTCGAAATTATACCAAATGCCTTTACATGTTAGTGTAAAACTGGAGCTGTGCAGGTACTACTTCAATCCATCAAAACCAGTGCAGTAATAAAGATACAGATGTAAAAGTATGATATTATATATCATTGACGAAAGAGGACATGTTGTCCTTCACTGTGACCTTTAAACATCAAACTCGAGCATCATATAACATCATTTAGAGAGCTTGAAATCATTCCAATTTACTGCCATGCTGGAAATTACTTAGCACTTTACTTAGTGTTTGAAGCAGTGTCAGATGGTCTGGTATTACCAGTAATACAGGGTATCGTCTGCTGTGTAAAGTGATTGCATTTCAAGATGACTGATGGCTGCAAGTGGTCCCCACATGTAGTACACATCACCAGCTATAGCAGGGGTATCCTGAATTTTCTCCCAGGTTGTTTGTTGCCATTAGAAAATCTTGACAATAGCAGTGGATACCCGTGTTCTAGCCAGCATCCGTCTTTCTGCCATTTGACGGAATTTTGCTGCTAGTGGCAGACAGAAATTTCACCCAATCCATCATCTTTGATGGACAGAAATTGACATGTAAAGATATAGAGAGAGATGTCATCAAATTAAGCTTAGTCTACGTACCAGTAAAATTTGCTCCCCAAAATGCAGGAAATAGCATTACAGGGGGTAAAAATCTCAAAATTTTGACAGCAAAGCATGGATTCATGCACCTGCCACCCCACATGATGTTACGTCAAACAAAATTGGGATGATGGAAAAAGATTTCAGGCTGGCTAGAACACTGGTGGATACACACTGTTACTTACATGTACATTTGGCCCCCCTCCCCCTCAGAATTTATCCTTCAAATCAATCTGTTAATTAAGTATATGTGAAAAGATTCGGCGATGGACTTGCATCTGCTCAACAGCTCTTAATAATGGCATTTGCTTTAATTATATGATGATCCTTTGCAGGTTTTCCCCAGGGAGCTATCACACCGCCTACTTCCAAATAGAAAAATTAGCCACATGGCCCTCGCATCTCTCAATATGAGTCATGCGAGCAGTGACAACTGCAGCGGCTGATTGTACCATATGCCAGTCTGTCATACAAAACTGCAGCCATACAGGGGTCAGGCATTGCTTAGCTCCGCTGAATCTAAATTTACGACGTATCTTCATTTCTTAGGTCCTACTCTAAAAAGCAGAGGTTTCGGTTTACATATTTTGACAGCTTTTGGTGATTTTATTGGGCTTTCTTCTTAGTACTGGTATACTTTTTTTTTATGTAGGATGGCAAATTCTAACTGCCTGCAAGCAAATGGGTACTGCCTGGCAAAATTTGATACTGTCTTTGCAGCCACCAAAAGATGAGCTGGAGGTTATCTAGTTATCTATATGTGCTTCGTCTTTTCAGGTCAATCTTAAAATGTTTATGTGAATCATGATACACCCTCTTCAAATAACATATATGCAACCACCATAAAATAGTAGTCCCATTTGAGAAAATTGTTGGCAAACCCAATGTTCTACTTCTAGCATAGCTTCCGCTACTACATATAGTCCAGTGGGCACATAATTAGTAATCACAGTAATAGAGTCAGGCCAAATAACTTCACCTACATATTTTACTGTTAATGTTTTGCTATACCTCTCTCTGTTGTATAACTGCTATCAGAGCAGTGTTTTTCTTCAACCAGTGTTCCTTGCTGCGAATCAATATTCATTAATAAAACATTTTGCATGAGTCTGCTGGGTCCCGGTTGTTGCAACTAGTACGTACTGTTTCATGCCGCCATTAGCATGCAAGCCACGGACCTCATTATGCGAGATGAAATGGATTGTGGGCCCTGTGGGAGGCTATGTCAGCCCCGTGGCACAGATAGAAGGCGTACAAATGCAGGTATCGTCGCCCCACCTCCACACGGCATCAGGTCTCATTGCAGATTCAAAAATTTTGCAGTCGTTTTCCTACCAACGTACAATTTTTGGCAAGACTGCGGGCATTTTCCCTTTTTCGTATACCCGTCCGTATGGCGCTAGCGAGTGATCTGTCTCCGTGATCTTCGATCCAGCTATTACACCAGCATAAATTTCATACGCAGACGGCATCGGAGGCCCTGTCGGAAGGTATTTCGCTATTTGGTCTTGCGTCAAATTGAAGACCCTTATATCATGTTGGGAAAATGGAGGTAATCTCAAACCTTACCTGTCAAAATTGTCTCTTGCGCAATTCAGCTTTCATTCCGATCCCTTTTTATTTGTTTGTTTCAGCAACAAATAAATAAAATGGGATTTTGGTTTCTGTGTCACCTACCCTTGCATGGGCCTAAACGACTATAGCTGTTCCCTTAGGTAATGTGTGTACACAAAAGGGGAGTGGCAGGTAGTACTGTGATGGTAAATTTTTGTATGATATAATTTCCTGCGTCTTCATATGACATTAGGGGACCATATGTAGCCTACAAAAAATATCAAATTTTGCTATCAGCATTTGATAAATTACATTCCATCCCTGGACATTTGATACTGCATGCTGAAATTTCTCTTGGAAATAATTGGCAAAGTCATGATTTTTTTAAATAATAGATGACCTGATGACATTGAGCATCCCTTGTGTGTCCTACCCACTAGTCTGGACTAAGTTTGATCCTGACTGTGATACCTGCAATCCATTAATTTGTTGCTGTCCAAGATAGTGTAGATATGCTTAGGATTACTATAGTCTAGTAGGTTTATGTAGCAAGTAGTAAAAATCAATGTACCATAGTTAATAGCATTTATTTCAGTCATTACAGATGAAATTTTAATGTTTTTCTGCATCCACGAATTTGAATGACAATTGTGTCATTGAAAAAAATTAATATGGTAGGTTTTCCCAGGAATAGTAAAAGATAACAAATTTTGCAGTGGGAAGTTTATCCATCTATTGTATTGATAGTAAAAAAACCTCATAGTAGATAAAATTTCCATTACCATTAATTGATTTTTTTACCACTGCCTTCGAAAATTCTCCTCTAGATCTACCATACGGTATTTTTCTTACATGTACATTTTGCAGTCTGGGTGTAAAATGGTATGCGATAGATGTGTTTGCATTGTATTGTTCACAGTGACTGGTTGTTTGTTTTTTACCCTTTATGGGCCTCCATCAACAAAGTAAGGACAAACATTGAACTTGGATTGCCATGTGCAATGTAACAGTTTCCCTTAGGGTGCCCGGCAGCCTTGATATGTGCAGCCAGTTTTCAAGTTCAAGATTAGGCTGCCATTTTGAAGCTAGCTGACAGTGTCTGACATTTCTAATTATGTTCGTAATATCACTATCAGCTCTTAGAAGAGAAGTCATAGCTCAAAATACTTGGTGCATATGCAACTTAGTGCAAGTAAAATTCAGGCTGTGCAGGTATTTCTGATGTCTACCTGCACCTGACCTGCACTGGTCCATGTACTGGGTTGTATGTATGTATATTGTATAATACCTGTAGGTGTATATGGATAATTATTTCTTGCATTGACTGTTAGATCTATCAACTATCAGCAATGTGTTACGTAAAGCATGTTTTGTAAAATATAAAAACAACATGTAATTTTGTAAAATCAAATTGTAAAATCTAAAATAACATGTTTTGTACAATGCAGACTATTATCACTAATCATGAATTTGTCCTTTCCTCAGGGAAATTGGAGATTATTCTAAAGTTTGCAGTTGAGAAGATTTGAAATAGCAGTGGTACAGTCCAGGTGGGTTATTATGTTTCCTCTGATCAAAGTACAGTGTACTGTAGATTAATAAGAGTGTAATTTGAATATGCATGAAACAGGACTCACCTAATGGAGTAATTTGGGTCAAAAGGTAGTCTAAACGCTGTTTCAGGCCAGACGTAGTGGCCTAAATTGCTGTAATTTGGGCTCGTAGAAAGGGATTGAGTCAGGCCCAGGAAATGCAAATTGTAGGTCAGCAAATTTTGTACTACATGAGATTCATTACAGAGTTCAGAAAGATGTTAGGCCACACCATTTTAATGTCAATTGGTTCTCAGATTCATCTGTTTAATTTTTTTTATGATTTGCAATATAAATATTTAGGTTCTGAATCAACATGTAATATTTTCTCCAGGACTCTACCACAGGCTCCTGTGAATTTCAAACAATCTTGTAAACAACAGATTGTGAGCTGATGACCAAATGACCTTATATATGCTTACGTTTCAATTCTGTTCTATTTTTGTGCAGATTGAAGGTTCGAGATGGAGGAACCTGCACCAACCCTACCCATGACATCTCCAGGGCGGCCGACTGAAATCATTCAAACAACGCCCAGAAGATCGTCTAAAAGTCCGGATCGTATACGAAACATTAGTGTCAATTATAAAGAAATGCATACAATTGAGGCGGAGGACTTACCCCAGAATGTACGGAAAGCCTCCGAAGCTTATGAAAACAAAGTGGCTGATGATTCTGGTCGGGCAGCCAAAGAGTGTAAAGTTAGACCACTGCCACAGAACGCTTTTACAAAATTTTCAAACGATAGCCCCTCGTGTAGTCCACCTGCCATGAGGCGCTCTCGAAGCCCAGTAAAGATCTGGGAGTCGACACTACCCCCTTTTGATGCTCCGCTTTACGGAAGTGCAGGAACACGGTCAAGATCCCGTTCACGTAGCCCAACGTTTGGCCGCGTCATCGACCCAAACGCAAGCAGAGGAAACTCTCGAAAAACAAGCCTTTCCTCGTCAATAGCCTCAGAAGACATTGCAAGATCAATACGCGTGGCTAGTCCAGAAACACCGGTCGCAACCGGCGGAAACGAACGTGGTCGATCAGTAAGGAAAGAGAGAGCTGTCTTAAAGGAAATTAAAGTGGAAAGAAGAAAGTTGCTGATAGCTCAGGAAGCTGCACGCATCCCTAGTTTGATTCCTCCCTATACTCCCGATTCTGCAACAGATGACCAGGGTAACTCCAAAAGTAACCAATCCCCAGCCAACAATGATAGTAATACCACAAGTCCGGTGGCCCAATCAGTGAGTCCCACCTCACATCAGCCCAAAAATACTTCCACCCCTGACCACCCAAGACCACCCAAAGACACAGAGCAAGCCAAACAGGAGAAAACTGTCCCTTCACCCAAACTAGACCAACCACCTCCCCGTGAGAACTTGTTCAGACGAATGGTCCGATATCTAAGTCCTTGGAGAAGATCGTCAGACAGACAAAACGGAACCTCAAGACGTACTTCTGACAAACAGAACACAAACTCCAACAACAGCAATACTGGTAAAGCTGGTGGGGATGCATCCCAGGCTAACACACCTGCCAAAGATGGAAAGAAGGTTTCGTCCCCTACAAACCAGCAGGGATCAAAATCAAGTGAGAAGGAGAATTTAAAACAGCAGTCGTCGACGGGAAAAACAAGAGGTGGTTCTCAGAGTGGAAGTGGCGGGAAGTCGTCGCGTCAGAAAGGCAGCAGCTCAGACCGCTCCCAGTCTCGATCGCCCAGTCGAGGGAAGCAGGGCGACGCGCAGTCTCGGACCAGACAAGTTAGCCCGCCCGGAGACCAGGTTAAAGTCCGTCGAGATCCGCCCATAAAGTACCGAACGGATCCGCCCAGACACAGGAAGCAGGACCAGGCGATGGCGAGGAGGTCAGACCCGCACCGCTCGTCCTGCGAGCACAAGTCCCGAGACAGGCACCATGGGAAGCACGCCGTCAAGCCGCAGCCTCCAGAAGTCAACCAGGGCGATCTGGTCAACGGCAACGTCATCGTGGACAGGAAGCCAGAAAAGGAACGGTGGACGTGGATTCCCAAAATCCCGGACAGTCCCGCCCAAGATTGGGGTCCGGCTTTGCCCAAGTCTTCGCCCAGCCCCGACTTGGAACATGAATGTGTTGGGAGGAGGGAAAATCTCATGGGCTCCTCCATGGAGAGTTTTAACTCTTCTATCAACGACGTACCCATGGACCCCACCTCTCGGTATTTGAACATATGTGGTCTGTCAGAGTTCTGGCAGAAGACAGTCCTTGATCGAGAGGATAATTTAGCTCCCGGACAGTCAGTTTCTGCCCAGGATATTCATTTACGACAAAAGCCAGTAGAAACCAGGGCGCGTGCAGAGAGCGAGGAAAATGTACGTTGTAACAAAGGGAAGCTAAGACGCTCGCCCCAACCCGAGGATCTTAAGAAGATGTCCCAGTCAGCACCCTCCTTGAACGAACTGAAGAAGAGAGCGGCCAAATACAGAGTAGAATTAACACTAAGTCCGAATGCATCTGTTCAGGACTTGAACGAAAATGTCGTTCTAGAGACGGACACTGGGACAATCGAGTTGCCGAAAGAAACCATGCTTGGCAGCCAAAAGGAAAACAGAACGGGAGAAATCAACGAAATGAGGAACAGACTCCTGGTTTCTGCTATCAGTGGAAAAGACAACCTCGCTGATGCAATGATGGAATTTCGCAATAGAACCAACAGCTATCTAATGGCAATAGAAAACTCACCCCTCGGCTCTGCCGGTATGGCTAACCGCGAAGTCTTCTTTCCCCCGGACAAATCTCCAAAGTCAGTGTCACGACCACAAACCATCAACAATCATTCCATACCCAGCATAGCAGAAAGCAACGAGGAAGAATCAATGACTCCAACAAAACCAAAAGCTCTCGACAACGTGAAAGAAGAAGAAACGATACCCGATAACGTCCCCACAAGCGAGAATTCCGAAACCACCAACGTAACAAACACAAGGGTTCAGAAGCGACCAAGTCAGGACGAAGACAACCCCACAGCCGACCTGAAGAAGAGACACGGCCATGTTGGGAAAGAGCAGTGCGAACAGTTGATTGTGGAGGGAATCGTGAAGAGATTGGACGAGAAGGATTGCGAGATTGAAGAGGAAATCGCAGCTGGGGTTATCCAGCAGTTAGGAACAGAGGAGTTGGAAAAAGAGAAGGCTGAGATCCGAGTACAGAAGAGTGATCAGGAGAGCAGAGATGGGAAGTACTACCTGGGAGTGATGGATCTGGAGAGAGACAGGATAAGTAAGCTGTGTGGACAGGCTGAGAAGGACCAGGAGGGAGACATGTCAGAGGAAGGTCAGTACCCTCAAGGTCAGATTATAGCAGTAAAGGTCACAGCTGAGCTTTTGCTGCATTTTGTTGAAAAAGTAGAAGTAAGTTAGTAAGGCTACACTAATTAATTGGTTCTCATTTTCCCCAAGTCATTTTTTCAACTTGACTTTGTATGTGTTTCTGCAGCTGATGGCCTACTGAGAGCAGCAGTGGGAAAGGCACAACTTCTAGTGAGCCAGAAATTCAAACAGTTTGAGGGACTTTGCCAGCAGAACTTGGTGAGAACATATAATTTTAATGTTTTTATAAGAATTTTATTTTCTTTATCTTATAAGGTGCACCCAAAAATTTTTCTGTATTTCGAGCCCTGCACATGTCTGTAACTTGGTGTGTTCCGTTTGCAGAACCCAGCAGACTGTGAGGGTGACCAGTGTGTCACCACGTCCTCTGACCTGGCTGGCTTCTGGGACCTCGTCAATATCCAGGTAGGATATCCTCACTAGTATTTTAAGCCCCTGTCACACATTCAGAACCTTCCACCAATCAACCAAGGTTGGCTGAAGTTTGGGAGCAGTCTGACCAGATTTAGGCTACATCTACCTTTCTATATAAATCAAATCAAATTTGACTTTGAGTCAAAAGTTGACTCCCAAACAATGCTGACCCACTCCCAAACACCTACTTATGTTGATAGTTTACTGACGATTCTGACTGTTTCCAACAGATAGAAGATGTGAACAGCATGTTTGAGGAGATCGCCCTGCTGAGACAGAACGAGTGGAAGTTCCCCCCGCAGACGTCATCCAACGGTAAGGACGAGCTCAGCCCATCCTCCTCCCGCGGAACGTCCACCCAATCCACCCCGGCTGCTTCCCCAAAACCGCGCAGAACGCGTCCCAAAACCGCCGGCGCCACGCGGAGCCCCAAACCCGGGACAAAATCCGCCGCCAGAGATGACGCCAGGAAAAGGCTGCTTGAAGCTAAGAGAGCCGCGGCTGCAAAGAAGAAGGCAACCATGCAAGAAGACAACAATGTGGAAATATTCCTTCCTGAAGCTTCAAACCCTACACATACGTAAGTGCGTGTTGTTTGACCGATGCATGCTCCGGATTTAGGCATTGCAGCGTCATGCAACAACACTTAACTAATCATATGCAAATACAAGATCATGTGTTTATTTTGTTGGCCTAAAAAAATGGCAAAAATGCCCATGAATAGAACTTTTCAACAAGAGGTTTCAAATTTTTTGTAGGACTTTTTTTGCAGTACAGGAAGAGGTCACATGATGCCCTACCTGACAGTGATCATGATGCATGCTGGGAAATGCTGCATCCTCTTTGCCAGTGCTTTTTTTGTCTGATTGCTCTTTCTGAAAGGTTGTGTTTTTAATTTGAAATAGGTGGCTGAGTGATTAAAAAGCCTGTACATTACTTCACATTTAGCAAATGTTTGAATGAAGTTGAATGATTATGGTGAAAAAAATTCTTGTGAAGTGAATCATTTCTAACCCTGAGCATGTTGAGATTGTTCAAAACCCAGATTGTATATTACCAACCTGGTCCCTAGTTGTATGAGCACTGATGTTACTGTTAGGAGGATTCTACATTGGAAAAGGTCTTTGACTTAGAAACCAAGCTTACAACTATGTAACAAGGGGTTGTAGAAACCCAACTTGGGGTCATATTTACCCAGGCTGTGGTTGCGCAAGGTTGGAATCCATTTGTGGGTTTTAAAAACCCAGGTGGTCACATGTGAACCATTCCCAATTTTTTCTTAATCCCCTGAACTACAGTATTTCTTCTCCATAGCAGTAGCCATTTAAAAAAACGTCAGAGATGATTTAACTTATTCTGGTCAATTCCATTTCTCACTGTCATGATATACAACATGTATGTATCACAATGATCACCAGTTTCAAGCTACATGTAATACGTCCAAGAAGGTTCAAAAACTTGTTCATGCCTGTTTAAGAGCTTTAGCTACCAGAAATGTGCAGAATTTTCCTCTATAAGACTGTATAGTATGCATTTGTGCAGTTCATGTGTATATTGGCCACTACCGAGAATTGTATTGAATGAACTCTAGCTAGTTGAGACATACAAAGTGAAAAAATTGCATGGTGTAAAAAAAAATGGAGAATCGTTGAAAAGTTTGTCTGTACAGCTACAGTGCAGTATTATGACTCTATTCTCTACTTCTAAGAATATGCCAAAGCTTAGTACACACAAATTGGTCGTTGAAATGCAGTAAAAAAAATTGTTCAAATTATAGTTGTCCCATGCAGGAAAGTTTCTTTTTGGTATGAGCATCCTACATATACATCTCAGCTAAAAATTGTGCTCTCAATGTTGAGGTTTGCCAAATCATACCTGATTTACCTCAAGGCCATTTAGTGTGTAATATTACATGTAGTATCTGCCTCATATATAACTATTTAACTCAATTTACATGCAGGCGAAAAACCTGATGTTCAAAAACTATCTACATGTACATGTACATGTATGCACGCAGATGTCCGAATGTAAATCAGCCTGACTGAAACGTATATTCTTGACATATGCTAAAGCAGGTAGATTTACATGCAGGAAAAATTAGATGTACGCAGTTTTCACATGCTTGCGTGTTTGCAGTTTTTTTTTCGGACATCTCATTTTTGCCTGTGTGTGTAAATCAGGTCTCTAGTGCATTACTGTTAGAGTAATAATATGATGTCAGTAAAGCAATCATAATGGTAGACCAGGGGTAGGTGCAAGCCAGTGGTGCATTCAGTACTGGTGTTATACATGTATAGTGACAAGAGTAGGGAAAACATGTCAATGATCATTCAGGAAAATCATTCCAAATTTTAGTTGCCAGATTTTTTGCAGGGTTCATGCTGATAGAAATTTTGCTGCGTCAAAAAAATGTTCTACATGTCTGAAAGAATTCTTCTGTTTTTGTGAGATGAAGAACACATTGAAGCATCCTTATCATGAATGCCTCCAATACTTTGGGAAACTTAACTCAAGCCTTTCTTTAGTTTCTACTCAAGGGACTGAGACCATCTACAATTTGATGGATTGATGTGAAAATATGAAAATATACAAAATGTTTGTTGCATCACTCCAAGCAGTCAACCAGGGTTGTACATTTTGAAGAATTCTTGGGACAGAGCCCTGCAGTTATTACAGCAGATACAAAACTTTCTGTTGTTTTCAATGTGTGGTAAAAGAGTTAGAGGAGCTCTAAGACTTTTCTCCTTATGTTGCAAAGGAGTTCTATTGTTGCAAATATCTGTACAGTACACTACGTACTTATCACGTTCAATGTGCAATTGTTTTTTATATACTGTGGGTTGTCATCTTCTGTAGTTTGCCTCACTCTATACGAGTTTTTTTTACAAGTGTTTTGTGTTTTTTTAGGTAGTAATTTATTGTGGAAATTCTATTGCAGCAATTTTTACATCATGTTTTTTTTAAGATTTGAGATGCGTGCAAACTAAATTATGACACAGTTTGTCAATGTAGAAAGCCAATATTTGTAAATACTAGAAGACTCCATTTTTGGAGCAGTGTGAAAATGATACAGACCCAGTGCAACATGTTGGTAAACTTGCTGAATAGCCTATGTAGAGCCTGTACAATGTGTTAACTTGGAACTGCTCATATGCAGGGTCTTTAAGCACTTACTTACTCTTCCCTAACATTGCTAAAATCCAGAATACTGTAACTGATGAAGAAAAAGACCTACTCAATCACACAGATGTGTGTCATTGAAAATATACATGAATTGAATGCATTTTCCTGATAACGACTTGAATACATGAACTATTTCGATTCTTCTGACCTCGAATATGGCCACAGTTTTCTGAGGCCCAAAAGAGGTGGCTTTCACAGTACAATGCAGTGCCTGTAATTTGAGGCCAACTACAGAATGTTAATGTCAGGTTTTTGTGGCAAATTAGTACTGTCAGGCACTGTCTTATGTTGTAACAGCCACTTCTTATCATGGATGAATTGGTACCTGTGTTTTCAACAAGCATATTGTTGCTTTCCCTTGCCTCATATGACAACAAGTTACGTGCATTTTAGCAGATGAATTCTCAGTTGAAAGCAAGTGTGATCCGTGCACTCACACGACTTGAAATGTACATGTAACATTTAGATCCACTGCAACAAACGTGGACTTTTGGATGTTTTGCTGTGTAAATTTGCCTTCTTACTAGCTATACCTTGCTTGAACTTGAAGCTCCTTAACTAATATAAAAAGCTGCTTTTATGTCCTGGAACAGATACATTATGTCTTACGAAATATTCTATTGTATATTGTTAGACAATATTGCAAACAATATGCAGTTCACAAGTGAAATGGTACAGTCATTCAATTCTGTATGCAGGGTTTCAAATAAATGTGTTCCTAGGCTGATCATTGTGTGCTGTCTGTTCTTTCTGAATAGTCTTACATAGGGAACTTTTTCTGTGATATGTAGATGACTCCATTCTAGTACATATGTCATCCATATAATCAAATCAGTACTACCTAGTCTGCTAAGATGTTCACAGTTTGGAGCAAAGAGAGCCCAAAACAATCCTCGACAGGACTGGATACCAGGCCGAAAGTTACTTTTATGGCTTAAAAATTTGAGGTGAAATGCGACCTCTAGCAGTTCAGTGAATGACTGCATCTAAGCAGCTTTTAGTGCAGTGATTTCCCCACCTGTACGCAAACTTACAGCTTTGCTTCTTGTTTCCCTAAATGGGCAATAATTCAAAGGGTTTTAGACCTGTTACCCGAATGTTTGAAACATTTTGAAACTTTCGGCTGGCGCAGCCGAACACCAGCCGACCTTGCTCCGACCATGGTTGGGGAGAGTGCGGGAGGACATAGTCAGCTTTATGACAGGGGCTGCTAGGAAGAAGACACGACCTCCTGTCCAGGACACAGGTCAACTGTCCAAGCTTCAGCTATTACATATCTCGAAAATGAAAATAGATACATACTATTATCTATAAGACCCACCGAGATGAGTACATGCATATACCACAGGTATTTGCTGCAAATCACGTTATTATATTCGCGGTACTTTTATATTCAAGGTTTTCGCGGTCACTTCTGTACCGCGGTTATCATTACCGCGAACAAATAATTCGCCGAGATTCTTTCTTCTGAAGCTGCCGCCACCGTGAACATATACCGCGAATATGTCCATTTTTCTCAGACCGCGAAATTTTGTTACCGCGAATATAACATGATTTACAGTATTGTATGTCAAAGAGCCCATTCCCTTTGCGTGTACAGAGAGCGTACCGCCCCAGGGCTGTTTCACAGGTGTTTTTCTTTTCTTCGCGAGAAAATGCCCCATAGTTTGCTAATTTTCTGAATCATGGTGGTAGACTTTGGGCCCGTATACACGGGGCCAAAAAAATGTGTCCTACAACGACTGTCGCGTGTTGTAGGACAGATTTTCTGAGGGTGTAAACAGGGCCTAAACCGACTTTTGTTGTAGGACACATGTTTCCCCCCCCTGTGTAAACTGGGCCTTTTCGCTACGCCTACGTACTACCGAAATGTTTTAAAATCCTTCCTACTACTACAGCTCAACAATCGGGGGACACTTCCTGGTTTACTGGTTCAAAAGGGACATCTTATGGCTAAATTTACTCGCGAATGGCGGATTTACTGACTTTTAATGACACAGTTGCTCCTGTTGTGCTAATTATACTCATGGGCCGGTCGGACCAGTGGTGTATCCTACACAAGTCAGACAACAGTTTAACCCAACGGACAAACTTTTCACAGAAATAGCAATGTATATCAGTTATACATATATCCGATAAGAAAAAAATTAAACCACAAGCTTTGATAGTATTCATATTAAGTACCTCCTTTTCTATTATTGAAAGTAATTAAATGCAGTTGATTATTAAACAACTGAACATTACCTTCTACACTATAAACCTTATACCAGCCAACGTAATACCCTGTTACTAGTATCATCCTTTTCCAATATAGTAGAGTTACAGCATCTTAATGACAGTACATTATTTTTTACTGCTACTTTCACATATACGAACTGTAATATCTTTGACATAGTTCAAACATTTATCTACTGTTCTGGTAGATTCTCTTGATAGATATATCACCAACTCAACTTGTTTACATTCATTTTTCTTTTATCCACTTTGAAAATATGTATGTATTTTTGTCATTGTGTTTTAATATAGTTGTATATTTATGTCCTCGAGTAGAATGCGTTATATAAACAATTATGCTTTTTGTCTGATACTAGTACTCGTTAGATATATATATAGATATACTGCTTCGTTAAAAAAACGCAAATAGTACACAACAAGTTTGTTGCATTTATAGTATAGCTGTTAACCCTGAAAATCCACGAGTTCATGAACCCGATAAAAATGCATAATGCAATGACTGTATAAATTTAATCATTTAAACTAGACCAATTAATGAAATTTGGTATTTTTTTGCTGATGGAATCGAAGCATCCATACCCGAGGTCGTCGTCTTCATCGTAATTGTTACTTTCCTTATCCCCATCTTCAACTTCTTGGTCCCGCCGATGGATTATCACATGCCCGATGTTGAAAACCTCGGGATCAGGGTCACTGGCTTCAAACCTTGTAGTGGAAGGCTGTAGGAGAACGGGGATGGCCATGTTGCTTCTGCTTTTGTCTGCGAGTTTCTTCTCCTTTCCGTTGATGGCTTGAATCTTGTTGAGCTCCTCCAGCTGATTCTGTGCGATCTCTCTTTCCCTGGCGATAGCCGCCATGTTGTGCTCCAGATTGTCGTCCACCTCTCGGAGAAGAAAATCTCGTCGCTCGACCAGCTTCTTGCTCCACAGCTCGTACTGATCATTGATGCTCTGCTTAGTTTGGAGATGGTTTTCTGTCACGGATTTTTCCACAGTTTCCAGGTTCCTCAGAAAGTCTTCGGTTCTTTGTTTTGAATCCACTCGCTTCCCAAGTCTTGCCTGCAGGTTTTCCGTCGACCTCAGGTCTAGTAATGATAACGTTTTGTGTCCCTTGTGCGATCCCTCCAAACAGTGCTTGCAGATGACAACTTCACACTGCTTACAATGCAGGGCCAGCCGCTTTTTAGGATGTTCCGAGCACTTTGGCAAACTTTTCCGGCGGGCCTGGACAAGGCTCGGGCCGACAACCGGCTTCCCGGGTTGCCGAACAATGTAGCTTACAGCTGACTGCTTGGCGGGGGATTCACAGATCGGACATTTCAGCGGCGCCGATTGCTTACTCTCCAGGCCATCCAGGCAGGCTCCACAGAAGACATGTCGGCAGGACAGCGTCCTGGGTGCCCGCAGAGTCTGCTGACAGATCCCGCAGACCGACTCGTCGTCACTGTACGAGGAATCGGTGTCCTCGGCTGAAAAGTACGGCCACATTTTATCACTGAAGTGGGCTCTCTACCTTCGGGACACACTGAAGGAAGTAGAAGCACTGGTACCGGTTGGATCACTCCGTCAAATGCGCGCGTATATCTGGCTGATAACTAGGATTAATTAGAATATTATAGGTCGGACCAAAACAGTAGCTCTCGTGTACTGATAGCCTTTACCAGGCTTCGGAAAGCGGCTGGAAAGAGCAGAAAATAGCTAAGTAGACAGATAACGTGCCAGGGGAGTTGGTACGCTAGCGCTGAAGAGTACAGTTTTCCGTTCGCCAAAATGTACTCTCTAGAGGACCAATTCCCCTGATATGTTGTCTGTCTTTCTGGCCAATTTCTACTCTTTCTAGCCGCTTCTCTGAGCATCAATGACAGTTCAAGCAATGGTACGTATTTTACTGAAACTTGCTAGCTTGATAAATATCATCATCTCTATATGTTTTGTACATTTCCGAACGATTTTGGACGCCCAGCTTAGAGGGCAGTTTTGAGGTACCGCCCTTAATATCCGCTAGGAGGAGCACCTATATAGTAATTTTCGTTACATGCGAGTAGTAATATGTCACCCCTCCGACGGACATATTACTACTCATGCGCATGTACATAGCATACTTGTAGCCTCTACCAGGCATCATAGTTACCCAGTAGAAAGAGAAGAAATTGGCCTAGAATTCGAAATTGGCCAAAATAGTACAGTTCATAACGACAGACTGTACGATTATGTACTCTGGACTGTAGAATTTGGACCATCGCTCACCGGGGCATGCCCCTACTCTTTTTTCGAAAGGTGTGATGGGCTCTTTAATGTGCGCCAGGTGTGGCTCTCCCAAACACGGGACTTCCGTCCTATATACGAGGAATGTCCCTAACCGAAGCTAGGTACTCATTTCCACCTGAGTGAAGCGAGGAAAGTCGTGTAAAGTGCATTTCCCAAGGACACCTCAACACCAGGGTATGTGAAGGGACCTCTTGGTCCCGAGTCGAACACTCTGACCATTACGCCATGCGATGCCACAGAACGCATTCATCCCTATACATCTGGCTGCGGTCAGTTTCCGAAATTGATAAATTTGCTCAAGGTGGCTCAATGTCTTAAGGTTGCGCAGCGTAAGGATGTTCTTATTAACTCATGAAGATATATGTGTCACGGTTGCACATTTGATTAAGGTTAAATGTGTGTAAGCGGAGACGGGGTGTACTTTTCACTGGGTGATCTCGGGACGTAATGACTTGATTAGCCGACACGGAGTTCTTCAAAGGCCCGGGGACCCGCGGGGTCGCAGCACGACGGGTATTAGGTGAAATTAAACCCCGGCCGTGCCGAACCCCACCGCCGAAATCCGCCGTAAATAGTGTCACGCCCCCGCTGGAACCACGAGAAGACACATGTTCACAGAAAAGAGGCAGTCGATGCGGCCGGAGACGAGGATCATTCAGGGGATTTTAAAGATACCGGAATTAAAAATATTATAGAATCTCTGTAGAAGAAGTGTGTTTGTAGGTAATATGAAGTGAAGAGTTTAGATTTTCAACACACACAAAAATTCCGGAGTTTTCTTATGAAAATGTTAAACTTTTCTTACACCAGCATGAAGTGTGTTTGTAGGTAACATGAAGTTAAGAGTTAAGACTTTCAACACAAAAGAAAGATACCGGTATTTTTGTTAAGATTCTGGGCACTTTTCTTACACCAGTATGAAATATCATGTGTTTGTATGAATGAAGTCTAGATATTTAACACAAAGGAAAAACGTACAACGTAACAGTTACATTAGTTATACATGGCCTCCTTTAGTCAATATTGACCATAGTGAAATCCTTATTTATTTCCTTATTTCTGTTTTATTTAAACAGGGTAGAGACCTCAGTGCTATTTCAAAAACACTGCTTTCCATGAATGCCCTGATATCAGCTCTACAGTTTGGCTATGACTGAACATTCCTATACGTGAATGACAGTCTCTGCAACAGGGCACATCTGTGAGCTGACTCAAGTCTTTTGCAGAATTCTTTTTTCCGGGTTCACTTCTCTTCTACGCAGAGTGTCAGTCTAGCTTTTCCTGACTAATTAATATCAGCTCTAGAGTTTGGCTAGTATGACTGAACAGTCCTATACGTGAATGACAGTCTCTGCCACATAGGGCACATTTGTACGCTGACTCAGGTCTGTTGCAGGATTCTTTTGTCCGGGTTCACTTTTCCTCTGCGCACAGAGTGTCAGTCTAGCTTCTCCTGACTAATTAATATCAGCTCTAGAGTTTGGCTATGACTGAACAGTCCTATACGTGAATGACAGTCTCTGCCACATAGGGCACATCTGTGAGCTGACTCAGGTCTTTTGCAGAATTCTTTTTTCCGGGTTCACTTCTCTTCTGCGCAGTGCATTAGTCTAGCTTCTCTTGATTTATTACGTTACAAGACTGGCAAAATGGTGATTGATGTAATTCCATCCAAAATGAAGTCAGTACAATAGAGTGCCTGGCCACATGCTGATGTGACCAAGATGAAGTCATCACTCCCCAGAGTCCATGTCGATCTTATGCGCTTGAACCACTCACACCGGGAAGAACTGCTAGTCAATTTTCGATTAGCATAGTGGGTTCTTTAACGTGTGTGTGTGTGGGGGGGGGGGGGGTAATTTGGCTCTCCCCAAACACGTACGGGGCCTCGATTTAACGTCTTATCCGAGAAACGTCCCTATCCGAAGCTAGGTACTCATTTTCACCTGAGTGAAGTGAGGAAAGTCGTGTAAAGTGCATTTCGCGAGGGCATAAGATCGGTGACATGGCAAGATTCGAACCCAGGACCACTTTGATCTGAGCTGAACATTCTGCTGTTACGCCACACGACCACCGTGACTTTCATCGTGTATCTGGCAGCCCATTGTCAACAACTCCGGCACAAAAACATGTTTGGAGCACCATCTACCGCCGAACCCACCCGGCTCTGTCCGTCATCGCCGCCTCTTCAAGCTACTTCTCCAACGTTCCTACCAAAACACGGTGAAGGTCTAAGTGTTGAAGTCTTCCCCAGAAACGTCATTGTCAAGTGTGGGGATTGTTTATGACTGAAGCTAGTTCCCTGCAGACCATCTCACCTACTGGCTCAGTTTACACGGGGCAAAAAAGCACGTGTCCTACAACGATCGACGTGATGTAGGACAGATTTTTGAGCGTGTAAACAGGCCCAAAACCGACGCGCGTGCCACACAAACATCGCACGGCGCCGCGCGTCGATCGTTGTAGGACACTTGTTTTTCCCTGTGTAAACTGGCCCCTGCAGACTCAGGGGCTCCCGTGTCTTCCAACACATGAAGCAGTCGGAGCATTCCAGCATGCTCTTTCAACGGCCAGCCTCTAGCCTGAAATCCAGCCTTGTTAGCTGTAGGCGCGCCGCCAAAAAATCGCTCAACAAGTTGGCGGGGAGCGAGCGCACCTAACAAGGCTGGATTTCAGGCTACATTCTCTCTACATCCTTCCAGTTAAACTGCAGACCATCGGTATTTGCTAAAGACTGAGGGAAGTGAGGCTGATCTGTTTTTACGAAATCTTACCATTTTCCAGACAAAATAGGTAAAAGAAAGTACCAACACAGATGAGGAATATCGGAAGCACCGTACATACTGAGACACTTTTCTGACAATTACCAATGGACACAAGGAAAACTTCCAGGCACTTTTGGCTAAACTAGTCTATACACTTTACAGTTTGCCTGCACTCGAACACCTTTTTATATGGGCTAGTGTGGGGAATATTAGCCACTCTCCAACTCAAAACACACCGATCGGGTAACACTAACAGGGTCCACGGCACTACTGATGAAATATAGGTTCTTTTTTTTACACAGATGCTATCCACTTCTCGTTTTATGCAAGAAAGAACTCTCATTTGATGGATAGCAGTTTGCGGGGTTGTAATCGGCTCTTGGCTAGTTAAGTCTTCTTTTAGAGGACACTAATAAGGTGCCTGTTGCCCCGGGGAATGTTTATTACGTGTCTCGGTTGGGGCTAAATAGGTCACCGGGGTTTTAGGTACTTGTGCACGCGTCGGTGTTATGCTGCGGGTGGAGGAGGGGGAGCTGAAGATTCGCAGTGACATTTTCACAAACAGACAGACAGAGGCAAACACGTACATAGACAAACACGTACAGAGAGAGAGAGAAAGAGAGAGAGAGTGAGAGTGAGTGAGTGAGTGAGTGAGTGAGTAAGTGAGTGAGTGAGTGAGAGACAGACAGGATCAGACAGGAAGGCACACATAGACATATACAAATACGTATGTTTCGTACTATGTATGTCTAAAAATATATGGATTTATTAGGTCTTCGAATGATGTAAACTTTATCTTTACATATATATATATATATATATCTACTGACCCTTACCTCAATGAAAAGAGGCCTGCGGGCCGATTTAAGCTTCTCGTGAATAAAGAATGGTTCAAACTTCTAAGAAGCACATTTGAGAAGGAAAACCAGACGACAACCATAGCTGCATCAATGTATCACAAATTAAGATTCCTAAACACACATCTTGGTGTTGGGTTGGCGTAAGGCATGATAACATACATATCATTATGAAACTCTGAAATTCAAAACTTAGAGTATATTTTGAGAGAACAGAAAAGGACTTCCATTGTCCCCGTGTAGAAGGACCTTGACGTGTGCCCTGGATGTGGAGATGGGGTCTAACACAAGACACAAGAGCGGGGAAGCTGGACCCACAAGACCCCCTTCCGAGCCCAGCCGTACCGGGCACGTCACCACGGCGCTCCGTTACCAACATTTTTTTCCTGACGCAGACAAATCACACTGCCGTGTTTTGTTGAGCCAGGGTACTTGGGTGTTCTCCAGCGATCAAACCTGTAAAAACAGGAGCAGGTTTGTTTTATACCGGAGGGATTTCGCCAGCAGGTCCACAAGGGCGTCGTTCCAGAGGCGAACTTCAGAAGCAGGAGTTTGGAAGCCTGCCACAGGTTTGGATTACCCACGTGAGGGAGGATCTAGCCTTTATAACCAGGGTCTCCGGTACGGCTGGTAAAGAGATCGGGCATCGTGCGAGCGTGGTTCGGAGCTGCTACTGGTCTCCGGTCTACCTACTGCGACCTCCCCTCAGTCAAGGCCGTTACCGCGTGCTTGGCACACTTGCTGGGCGGTGTCCTTACTAAGGTAAGATTCTCTCTCTTTTTTTAGATTTTTATATGAGGCGTTTTTTAGAGCACACGTGAATGTGGATGGAGAAATATGTGTCTCAAAGATCGTGAGTGAGGGTTTAAGAATTATCGCCGTACTTTATCTTACCCCCTCCCGTCGTTTGCTTTTCCTAATCGTTTTTCCTCTTTTCAGTTTGTCTAAATAGGCGGATTTCCCTTTTGTCCGCTTCTGTCACAATTGGGCTTTGTGAAGTGGAAAAAAAGTTGTTTTCTTTGGCGGAAAAAAGTTCTGTTTTTCCTAGAAATGTGGCTTTCACATCTGTAAAGTATAAATATCTAATCGGGGTGGAGGTTGGGCTTGTGGGTACCGGGGGTACCAAAGGTCCTGGGTTCTATTCCCTTTGCGAAACGACGAGACCTTGAATGATGAACACACTTTTCTGTTAATTTTTTTACTATCATTAACTAAAGGGGCTGTTCATTTCTAATGTCAAAGGGTGGTGGCGTGGCGTTGATTTCTGTACGTCTCTCAACTGAGCCTGACTTAATCGCGTTCCTAGCGACTCGCCCCACAAATAACCTGGGAGCCAGACTAGTATCGGGCCGTTAGCCGGTTTCCTTCGGTAACCAAGAGCACTACGCCGGCCTGTCTAAATTACCGAGCCCGAGAGGAGCTGGCCGGGAAACAGACAGACCTGCTAAAAGATGGGGCCAATTATCCCTAATCTCCAAGCAGATCCTAGGGTGGCAAAAAGACAGCATCAAATTGGTCAGGCAGTATCCATTGGCCAGACAGGGTCCATGCGCGCGTGGTAGGGTAGCGACAAAAAACGGGCCATATATAAAAAGCTAACGATCTCCCCCCCATCAACCTCTGCTTGGAGAGTAAATTATTTTCCCAAAACGAGAGTTCACATGACGACAGGCTAGCTGCAGCCTCTACTTAATCTCCAAGCAGATCCTACGGTTGCAAGACAGTATCCATTGCCGGTCAGAGGAGTGTTCATTTGCCACCGCGTGATCTGCTTGGAGGCTAGCCTCTACCAGGCTTTGTAAGCGGATGGATAGACAAGAAATTGGCCAAAAAGATGCCAGATGAGTTGGTCCGCCAAAGGATTATTTGCAACCTCTTTTAGCGGCCCAACTTCCCTGACATGTTATCTGTCTATTTGGCCAATTTTACTGGCCAATTTTGGCACCTACTTATTTGCAATGTAGTAGTGTTGATTCGACTTACTCCGTAAAGGGACGACAAGAAATTTATTTTTTGTATCGCCCTGATGTTACATAATGTAGCTCTAAGTGTCTTTCCCAGCAAACACCTTGTCTTGAAAGTTGAAGATGTCTCGACCCTAACCGTGAAGTCCGCAAGGTCATGGACAAGGTCAATGTGGCCCTTCCGCTGCTTTGAAGTCGATTTCACGGTCTGTTGGATCGAATCACGCCTTTAAGTAAAAACATTTATTGGTTTGCTAGTTTGATTCTGATCAAAAATTTTAAGTAGACACGAAATACAGCAAATCAAAGAAGAGGGGAACGAAGAAAACACTAAGTGACGTCCTTTTTGAGTCCTTCGGAATGTCAGAGGTTACACTACGTGATAGAAGCAGTAGCTCTAGTGGTTGTCGGGACATTTGCTGGTTCAATCATGTCTTCTCTTAGGCTACTAGAAATTCATTTTTACCTTTGCCAGAAGGTTATGTTTTTGGTAGCGTTTGTTTGTGTGTGTGTGTGTCACTGTGTGTATGTATGTATGTATGTATGTATGTATGTATGTATGTATGTATGTGTGTAAGTGCGTATGTATGTGTGTATGTGGTTTTGAGTACAATAACTCAAGAAGCTATGGATGGATTGTCATGAAGCTTAGTAGGATGCTAGGTCTTGATGAGACCTCAAATATTATTAGATTTTGGACACCCAAGCGGCTTGCAATGGTACTGCAGTGGAACTTCCGGTTTTGATGTCTCGTGTCTACTATTTATTCAGCCTGCAAAGGAGTCTGGTGGAGACTAGGATGGACGGAAAGTGGTTAAACTACCAAAAAGAAGAAAGAAACCGTAAGAAAGATGTCAGAAAAAATTCAAATAGCAGGAAACCCGGCCATAGAAGGCTGTTTATCATTTTCACATGTACTCCTTTCCCAACCCCATTTCGGTCAGTCTTCACGCGTTCCAGTTGTTTGATCTGACAGGAGACGCAACAAACTACATTCGAACTACGTGTTTGGTCTAAGAGCGCTAACTACCTCCGCCATAAAGGTCACGCTTTCTGCTACGTTGGAATGTAGCTTCTGTTGCAGCGCTCACTCGGGAAGAATTAGACTGGATGCCAGGCCTATACTATAGCACACTAGGCCCAGAGTTAGCCAGGGCCGAACTGAGTGCGCTATGGCAGGTATAATTTCCCCATGTTGGCACTGGGGCCGAGGAACTGGCCTGCATGTGTAGACCCTGGAAACAGTCTGGCACCCACTGGGAAGAATCAGATCTCGACAATCGTCAAAAAACTGTGCCTGCGAGTAGTGATGAAAGAAAGTAGATCCGTAAGGCAAAGCTGAAGCCTTGGCTGAACCTTGGTCGGATATATCATATAAAAGCCGTTTCTCAGAAAAAAAGCAAGGCATCGAAGATTTCATACCTTCGTAACAATAAGTATTTGTGAATTTCTTGTTTCATTCGTTATTGTGAAATTCTCGCTGTCTCTGCACTTTCCCACAGTCCAACCAAGGAGGTTACAAATCTTAGTCCAACTAGACAACAGACATGCATGTAGCAAGGCCTTGAAGACAGGAACTGATGGGATAACCTTTTCTGGGACCTTTCACCTAATTTCCTGTCAATGTCCCTCGACGTGCCTAGCGGTACCATGTGGAAAATTGTGTGGCCTTTAAATATATGATGTCCCGAAAAACCCTTTCCGCCTTGTTCGGTGGCAAATGGCCCACAGTAATAGGAACTCAAGCCGTACTCGGAGAGTCGTGTATTACAGCCGTGACTTCTGGCCGGACCAATTTGTCAGCCGCGTCGCCTCTCAGCATGTGGAACAGTGTTCGTAACGCCGGCGGCATCTTGACTGTATTACCCCTGGCGAAACCCATGCAGGAAAAACACGATCCGACATGCCGGCTTGGTCTACCTACATCACATAAGGGATTGCCTCAATCGTCTGTGCTCTTTCGATTGGATAGTTGTTTGTTGTTTGTTTGATTTCGTTTGTAATTGGTTGGTAATTCGGTTGGTTAGTCGGTCGGTGAGTGAGTGAATGAGTGGGTGAGTGAGTGAGTGAGTGAGTGAGTGAGTGAGTGAGTGAGTGAGTGAGTGAGTGAGTGAGCGAGCGAGTGAGTGAGTGAGTGAGGTTACTCAGGAGAAAATTGGGATGACAATTGGTCAAAAACGCAAAATCGGCAAAATTCCCAGCAGGAAAAGACTGTCACTGCCTGGTGCGCAAAATCGGCAAACTGCCCAGCAAGCGAAGACTGCCACTGCCTGGTGCCTGTTACGGCCCTTACACCGTAGACACAACCGGTCCTACCCGGGTCATGTTATGTGTTGAACGTGGACACTACTCGTGTGCGGTAGCGCTTTTCCTCAGCTCCGCAGCCCTGTTCTGTTTAACGCCGAGTCTTTGATGTTATCTGTTCCCAATAACTGGTCTCTCCGCGTCCCCTGACGTGTTCAGAAATCCCACTTGTAGGCGCGACACCTGCAATATGCACTTCGTTAGGTGGGATCAGGGAAGTTCACATGCCCTTCCTTTGCTGTGGGATTTCTGCCGACAGTTTGGACGCTGTGCTGGACATGGGGCGTCGTTTTCCTCTTCACCTCTTATTAACGCCCCTGTCGCATATAACGTTTTGACGAAAAGAAAACCTCTCAAGTTTATCGTATTTTCCTGTGAATGCTCTACTGGTGTTCTGTCAGCTGTGGAGTGGTCAGAACGGGCATAGTCGGACCGACGGGACCCACGGAGAGGTCAAACCTGTGTCTGATCTCCAAGCAGATTTCGATGCGGACGATCGTAACAACATCTGACACTCGGGCGTGTCTGACAGCACCTGTTGGTCCTGTCTGTCTACCCCCAACATCTGCTTGGAGATTAGTCCAGTCCATTGGTCGGTTGGGAAAGAAGGAAGCAGAGAGGGAAGTAAGAAGAAAAAGACAAAAGCTACAGAAGACATAAGCTGAAATGCACCTGACACAAATTGAACGAGCCCCCTTGATTCTTTTTGTACCCTCTACGAAAAATACAAATGATAACGTTATAATGACGTATAATCATTGATACAAGATGGAATCACCGAGGCACGAATGCACAGACAGTTTCAGTCTCTCCTCGTGAAGCCCTTCCCCTGTTTGCCCGAAATCTCACGGACGAGTGAGACTCTCTCATTAGGGCACCTAATTGCCTCGAACTTTCGGTGACACCCTATAGGCGTTATTTTGCGAGGGGGAGGGGGGTTTGGGTTTTGGAAGGATTTAGAATGAATTTATACATTTAGCAAGTTCTTAGTTGAAGTAGTGCCACTTTCAAAGTTAGATATGGGTCTGGGGAACTTCTGTCACATAGAATATGTGTTAGAAACGTCTGTTTTACAATGAGTAAAGCTATTCCCGACCTAATGAAACCGAAGGATATTATGTGCGACTGCTTTTTGCCTCTACAGACAGCACCCGACTATTTCCAGTCATAGTCGAAATTCCTTTTCGCTTCTATTTCTGAAAATGAAAACATTTACATTCCACGAACCAAATTCTGAAATGGAAAAGCTTCGGCCGTGTCCTGTTTAATAAACATCATTAGGGATGAGGTAGAAGTACAAGTGCTTTCCATTTCCCTATACCCCCATTCGGCTACACAGTCTAGATTTTATGGACACCGCTCGCCTGCGGTCTCCTTAGCGAAAATAAAATGCTCGCACCTCGATATGACAAGTTCTCAGAGTTACAAAATTGCTCTGAACACTTCTTTCCTTCCTGCATTTTTCATAGTACTGTGGACTAAATATCAACCTTCGTTACATTTGTCAGATATATATCCAAAATCTAGGTACTTTGTTTTTAATGCTAATATTGTTTACAGTTCAGAGAGTGTCATCCATAAAATCAGGTATTTCGTACCTTGGATGGAAATATATACTTCGTATATGTTTCTTAGCAAGGCGCTAGAAAACGGACAAAGAAGAAGCAAATTACATCGTTTCAACAATTTAAGTAAGACGTAAATGAGACAAAAGATATGGAGGATGTATATTGGTAGCCTCCTTCGCAGGCGTTCCCTGGAAGGCGGCCAGAGAAGCGCGTGCGGTTATAGAAAACTTGGCCAGTCAGAAAATAGTGCAAATTAAAAAGGAGCGCAAATCAACGCCTGCACCGGGAACGCCTGCAAAGGAGGCTAGCATATTGGCATTATTAGCCTCTAGCAGACTTCGGGAGGCGGCTGGAAATAGTAGATCTGACGTTTGGCGCACGGTGGTGAGAAAGAGTGCCAAGGCTGTGCACTACTAGTCTGGGAAAATCGGGCGGCCAAATAGAGAGAAAACATACCAGGGGAGTTGTACAGTTGTTCGTTCCAAAATGTACTCTCTAGTAGCGGACCAATTTCTACTCTTTCCAGCCGCCTCCCGAAGCCTGGAAGAGGCTAGGCATTATATATATCGGTCCTTATGAGAGGATGTAGAGTTTAGGAACTTCATCCCCGGTGGCCACCCCCTGATATCGGTGTATATTTTTCCAGATACACGATTTCCTTTTTACAGACACCCCACTCTTATGCTCCCCATCTAACTGTGTAGGGCTTGCTGCTACAGTGTTATAGTTCAAGGCTACTTGGATCTAGTGAAAGCCAAAGTTTATCCTTCTGCCATTTCAAACCACATATCGGTAACAGTATGGTTCAGTTTAACCTACCGGGTTGCCAAGGCGAAGCTATATTTGGAACTGTTTGGGGTTTCAACAAAAAATTCAAAACGCTCATCGAATGTACGGGACAAAAACACCTGCTCGTGTTACAGGTGGAACCGCCGCCATGTTTGACCCAAATGATACAGAGGTCAGATACATCAACGTCTCTGGTTTCCCGGTGTCAAGCCATATACATGATCCTGCCAAATACATGACTCCGACACTACTTCCAATATACCTGAGACAAGGGGTGGGAGGGGTTTAGTCGTGATGTGGGAGACTAAACCTAGCCTAACCTCAATCGTTAGTCTAACCTAGCCCTGAACAATGATCCCAACTCTAATACCAACCCTTACCCTAACCCTTGCCCTAAACCCCTGAGCTCTCATCACGAATGTGGCAGCTCAAGGATTTGGCTAAAGACCGGATCTGTGTCGTCCAGTCTGTCAGCATAGGAGCTGCTGAGATTATAGAAAGTAGATATGATAACCATCAAACGCAATAGAGGTGCCTTTATAAGTTTGTATAAGGCTTGGAGTTACAGGTCTTAGATATGACAAAGGCGCAGTTATATATTACTGTGAGCGTGCTACTTAAACCTCGGACGTTATTTCAAAGAAAGTTTCAGGATCCTTTTCACGGACACCTAAAAATTCCATATATGCGGCTTCGATAATGTACTAGTATAGCCTAGATAGAATATGTTTTAATGCAGATAAAATAGTTTTGATGATACATACTTTTGACGTGTGCAGATTTGATTAAAGAATGTTTGGATTCTTGCCTTTCGGCTCTTTGATGTTCGGAGTTTGATCTGGATTATGAAATATCGGATGTCTGTTATGAGTGAGGCACCTGCAACTCATGACAGTTGTTATTGTTACCAAACTGTTCTTATTTGAGTGGGTCATAGAAGGGAAAACAAAAGTATCAGTAACAAGCTGTACTAAGGAAAGGACGTTTAAAGTGGGACAGAACAAGACATTTACACTTCCATGACTGAAACTGAAAAAAATGATAAAAATGATAAAATTTAAGTCTCTACAGACTTAAACGACAAAAGAAATGTTATTTCAAATGAAAAGAGCGTTAACGCTTAGTTTTGCAATCATCTGAAATATGTAATGTCATTGTGAATGTGCTGCTAGTGATCTAGAAAGATTTTTAAAAAATAGTAACGAGAACTGGTGTAACTTTGGTCACATTTGGCTTGTATTCCATATACAATCCCGCCGGTCTACTTTGTAGTTTTTGTTTTCGCCAAAAGTTTAGAAATCTTATCCCTTTGTCACCAATCCAGAATGTCATCCAAGGCTGATTGACGACTAGTGAAAGAAATGCTGCCTTGATTCAATGATTGTATTTGACGTTTGCCCTAACAGATGTGCTGGTTGTTTCAAATTTATCAAGACACGTACTAGCTGACTTTTTGGCAGAACCTCTTGGGAAAGCATGGCTGTATGAAACCTAGAATCGCCGTATCGCTTTTAGAATCGGGATCTGAAATAATCATTTTTATGATGTTAAATTGATCATCAATTTATCGTTTATACATCTTCCTCGTGTATTAGTTTTTCATCACTGTCACAATCAAGATTGAAAAAAAATCCATTTGCATATTCGAAAACCGCTATAGATATGTACATCTAATCTGAACGATGAAAAATAAGGAAAAAATCTGACAGGTGACTGTAATCATGTTAGTAACTGACGAGTTTAAAATCATGTTAGTAACAACAATTTTTTGGGTCACATATGGACCTTGATTTCGCGTCACCATGGCCATTTAAACGCTTTTGTGAGGCCTGTTTCACATGAACCAAGAGTCTTCATGCCTTTGGCATTAGAACAGCAAATAAGGCCATGTTGATTTGATTATATGGATGACATCCGCGCGCGCATAAATTTTCGGCCGTTTCCAAAAAAAAAAAGTTTTCAACCATACTGTAAATCGTTCAAAACAGTTGCTAAATGAGCAAAAATATACCATAAGTTGCAAGGAAAACATTTGGAAACGATACCAATGTCGTAGAATGCCAAAATCAAAGGAAAAAAGACAAAAATGTAAAGAAATTAATTCGAAGAGTAGATTATTCGCCATAACATATTCTGTGCCATTTGCTCAACCTTCATGACCACGTAGATTTCATAGTGAAAGCAACTTTTTTTTTTGCAAAACTTTTTTTTATTCGCACGCGCGCATCAGTTTTGGGGTTCCCAGAGGATGTCATCCATATAATCAAATCAACATGGCCTAAAATTAAATTAAAAGTAAATTAAAAGTAAATCTAAAACATCTAATATAGAAGTCCAGTGCTTTCATCTTTTGCTTGTACAATTGATCGACTTTTAGCCTCACTTGGCCCTTCACTTTGTTTCCTTACTTTAAAAAGCTGACTGTTTTTTTTACAAATCTGGTTCATATGAAACAAGACCGTCCATGTTTTTGTCATCAGAACGCCAAAGATTTGTCATGACCTTGACGAAATCGTCTTAAAGTTCAAGGAAGGATTTGTAACATCTTGTGTCCTTCGTGAGGTTAAATACTTCAAGAAGGTACACTGAAGCTATAAGGACACCGGGGCTATGTATGGTGATGTGGAACAACTGTCTGTCTTATCTAATTTGTATCTCTTTTGTTGTTTCATAGTCTTTCGTGTTTTATTGTTACTCAGATTTATTTTTGTATTCCTACTTCCGTTCAACCAAAGAGATTATATTGGCCTCCTTAGTTCAACTGCGTACAAAATCGGTGTCATTTTTTATAGGAATTGCCATAGAGTAGTTGTCGTGTCGAGACGTTCGAAGAAGTATTTCTCTGCTGCTATTCAACTAAATTTTCTCTTTTGACTTTGCAGAAATCAACCCAACAAGGTGAACAAGATGGCGGCTTCTGCAAGTGCAGTGGTCTTACTTCTAGTGTACACGTCATCAGTTCATGGGTATCCCAGGCAGAGATTTCGAGTGGACTCTGTCAGTGATGCTTCTGTCGTTGCCGACTGTGCGTTTGAAGGCAACAGCCTGTGCTCCTGGACTCAGGAACAGGACGACACCATGGACTGGTCCATTCTACAGGGGTGGGACGCGACAGGGGACCCCTGGACGACGTTGCCAAGCACGGACCACACCCTGGCAACAAGTACGTGACCACGCAAGTCACATATAGTCCACCTTATTCTGTAAAACTAGATGCTTAACTTTTAATTAAACTAGAGTTCCGCCAGCTCATACTTTCACCAAATTATGTCAACCTTTATAGCCAACGAATTACAAATGTTTCTCTTTGATTATGCAAATAAGATCTTCACCTGCATAAATTGTATCAGTTGATAATATCTCCACCCAATTTCAGTCTTATTAGTGCCGTAGTAGGAAAACACAAAGTGAACAATTTTACATCTTGACCTTCCTTTTCACAAGCACTACTCACCTACTAAATATTCAGATCCATCCACAGCTTCTTGGGTTATCCTGTTGACACACATACAGACCGGTTTCATTTCCTTATTATAGGAATTGTTTCAACAACACAGCTTGCTTCTTTTTGTTTGAACGCAATTCCATAGAGTTTTTCATTTGGAGCCCTTGTATCCCTACAACGCTACATTTGCCGACGGTCACTAAGCTGATACGTGAATTCGAACTATTTTGTCGTGTAAACCTCCGGCTGGCCTGCGCTAAGTCTCTGCGTGTTAGTTTGGATAGTAGTGATTGCATGGCGGAATCTGGGACAGAACCCAGCGGGACATGGTAGCAATATGAGTCTAGTCTTTCACCCATACCGCTGAAGTAACGTGTGGTCAATAATTAAAGGGATATGTCTTGTTCTACAAGTATGTACGAAGAACAGGGCGATTGGCAAGCATTAAAAGTGAAGAGAAAGAGAGAGAGGAGACAGAGAGAGAGACGAGAGAGGGAGAGAGAGAGAGAGAATATTTCATTCGTTTATCGGTATTTCAAGCTTATAGAAATACGCAAGGTGTAAACGAAACACTATAAGCTTATGACATGTTTTTTTTATTAAATTGTCAAATGTACGCGATCTAGCAAAAAGGGGCAAGATCCGAACTTTCAGGAAGAGGAAGACAGCCAAGCACGAAAGAACGCAAGAAAGATATCTACGAAAAAGCGTTTGTAGAGTTATGCGGTATATAAATTTCTAGGGATTGTGGTTTTGCAACGTAGAACACAAAGTCGAAAATAAAATACGACTTCTCTATTAAAATGAGGTTGATACGATATCACCACTGGTTCAAAAGCACGATTCAGCGTAGGCGCAATCTTGCACATACACCGGAAATGACGTCTGCCCCGGGAAACAGGTTAGCGAGTCATTTACCCAGACTAAATAAGACCAGGATCGAGTTTACCCTTGGCGATAGAAGTCCCTTACGAAGGCACGGACAGGCGTGTGTATTAATAGTGTTGTGACTTGGTGCCTGTAGCGGTGGTTGTTAGAATAAGGCCACAGCACGTAAATTTTATGGATGACATCCTCCACAGTCTCCAAATCTAATGCGAGCGGGCGAAAAAAAAGCAACACGGGCAGAAAAAAAAATTCATTTCAAAATTTTGACTCATTGTACAAATGGCTTTGATTCAGCGGGAACATCACATATACACAGCCAGCATCACATATCACTGCATCAAAGTAAGAAGCAAAACATTAAGTCAGAGCCTTTTCTTGTCCCCTCTAGTGATAGTTATCTGCCATCCATGTTCCGGCATGGCAACAGACATATTTGCCCATTTTCGGCATGGTGACCACTGTCAGAAGGCACTAAAATTTCTTGTGTTTTTTTTCTCCAAAACCAGGCGAAAATTAATGCGCGCGCTGATGTCATCCATAAAAATACTTGCTGTGGCCTAACTAGGGCCACTCGGAGGGGACCCGCTGGGCACATGTGTACTGTGGAAAACCAGACGTTCTCTGGTACAGAAAAGTAGTATACATTGTGTATAGATTACAGAGGGCAGATTTTCACCATCTTATATGCTACAAGATCCTATAACAACAATCTTGCGATGTTCGGAAAATATCAGACATCAAAAGGGAGGGGTAAGAGAGCGCCAAATGACATTAATGCAACATGGCAGAGATTTGAACTAGCCTCAAGAATGTACAGAATATTGGTAACCAAACGCTGGTTCAGGTTGTTGCTTTCTTATCATATTCAGAAAGGCTACATCCCTGATTTAAACCGCGATTGCGCTCTATGCAAATGGTATAATACTGCATGTTTGCCTGTGTTCAGTTATATATCATTTGCAGGTTTCCAAATATATACATATGCAGAGAAAGACATTGATATCTACTAGTATATCTATATTGGTATTACCGCCCTTCGGCGTTACACACCAGACACGCGGCGCGGCGGCAGCTAGCTATTACACCCAATCTTTGCACATTTATTGCCATATATCTAGAGAATCACACTGATATATTGCATTGAACTTTGCAGGTGACGGCTGGTATGTGGTCGTACAGTCACCTGCCACAGCAACCGGCAAGCCACTTGCACGCCTGCAGTCCCCAGTAATTCCGATAGGTGACAAGGCTGAGCAGTGTTTGACGTTTCATTACCACATGACCGAGAACTACCCTGCTGATCTGGGCTTCGATGTAAGTCTGTTCTTAGACGATTCATCTATTGCCCTCCGATTGGTTAGGAACCGACCAACCACAGGGCACAATTTTTAAACCATGTAAAGGCTCCCGGTGTGATCTATTGCCCTCCGATTGGTTAGGGACGGACCAATCACAGAACGATCATTTCTTAATCAAACCCGGTGGTTTATTTCCTTCCTTTCGTTGAATTATTGATCAGCTTTCTGTTCATCTTTTAATATCGGCTTCTGTAGAAAATAAATCTATCTTTTTCAAAGTTAAAAAGTCGACTGAAGACCTTGTCACACATTCGGAACCTTCCGCCGAACACCAGCCGACCAAAGTTGTGGCCGTACAGTCTGACCAGATTTGCGGCCACGCCTTCGTATCTATACGAATCGAATAGAATTTGAGTTAAATTTGAGTCAGATGTCGCGGCCAACCACTCCCCGACCTACTGTGGGAACCACTGTAAGAAACAGAGGCGAGCAGTAGAAACAGATAAAAACCCCTGGTCCCGGGTCGGTTCGAACCCACGACCTCCCGAGCACCAGCTTCAAACTCCGACGCTGCCGACGCTCTAACCACTCGGGTCAGTTGGTAGCGCCTATAAACCCCCTCCCCCATTGTTACAGTACATATAATGTATTACTACGGGAATATAAACGTAAACGGCGTATGACATGATGTGCGTTAGGTGTGGCTATCTGTTACAATACTTTCTCTCTTTTGTAATGCACTGCATATACATGTACATGTATATTGGCCTAAGTACGTAGATATGGAGTTCTATCCATTTATCTCCTGTAGGCGAAGAACCTGCTGAATGTGTACCTGTTGTCGGAAGGCGAGCTGAAGGGTCCGATCTGGACCATGGGAGAACTGCTGTACGGCTACTGGAACCAGGCTGAACTCTCTTTCACCACGTATAAGGACTTCCAGGTACATTTGTACCTTTGAGCGTATGTAATTATAACATTAAGACAATACAAAATGTACATTTTCTGGTCATTTCTTTACTAAAGTGAATTGAATCAACCCTATATAACTCGTAGGTCGTGTTGGAGGCGGTGGTAGAGTCCCAAAACAAAGGTGACATCGCTATTGATGACATCAAACTCAGAAATCGGCCGTGTGCAGGTAAGTCTAGACATCACACTTCTCTGTGTTAATATTTGTTCGTATAACAGTATAAATTCTAGTTTTAGAAACTATAAAGCCATTTCATACGGCAGCAACGTCGGCAGAATCACTTGTGTCATTTAAAGTCGTATTCGCGTATCTAAAGATGACATCCCGTGTATAGTTGTTTTTCTACTGCTGTGTCGGTAAAGATATCGTCTTCTGATGTCCATAGATAAGTAAGATCAATGATGATATGAATCTTTATTGCATGTTCTTGCCCAGATGGGCTAAATGCACAAGAGGGTGTCCAGTATGTAAAACATTAGTATTTCATACTATTACGTACGCTATATTCTAATGCAAAAGTGCTAGGAATCTATACATTACAATAATACTATAAACTACCTATCATCTACTGTTAGTTGCCCTTCCTTCTCTCTTTTTGAAACATTTGGAAACATAATTACATAGTTTGTCTACTGTACATTCGTTCTTGTATGACATCAAGTGTTTAAACATGTCCTGCTTTGACATTTTCTTACATATAATAATGAATACTGTAAATGGCATGTTTGCTGCACCGCAGGTTGTAACCACATCCTGACGGACCGTGTGGGCACGTTCACCAGCCCGCGCTACCCGAAGCCTTACCCGCAGAACACCGACTGCACCTGGACCATCAAGGCACCGGACGACATGCGGATCCGCCTGGCCTTCGACATCATCGACATCCTGGAGGAAGAAAACTGCGAGGTCGACTACGTCGCCGTCAGCGGGTCTGAGAACGGGGACGGCGTCAGGTAACTAACTGTCCGGTCACGGGCCCTCCTGTCGTACGGCGCCGTGCATTTCCGTCTGGTCAACGGCCGCGTTGCCATTTGAAACGGTCGATGCCATATAGCAGATCGGCAAACTTAAAGTGTATTAGAACGTTCCGTCATCACCATAATGTTTCGTGGCGTAGAGGATTAGGTCAGAGGGTTACGGTTTTTGGATTATTGACCCGAGTTCAAGTCTAAATTCGAACTACATGTATGTCACTAATATCTTCCAAGAGAAAAGAAGATTCCAAGGGAAAAGAAGATGTGAAGAAATGAAAATGAAGAGTCTAATATTCGCCATACCATACACTGAGCGTTTAGTCATTTATTCAACCTTCATGACCATGTACATTGTAGCTTTCATAATGTGCATGTAGGTATTCTTTGCACGCTGGCATCAGTTTTGGGGTGCCCAGAGGTCATTCATATACGAGTAATCAAATTAACATGGACTTACTGAATTTTGACATATTCCCATGGAACCGTACCGCTACAGGCATTGTGGCAGCCTCGCGCCGGACGTCTACACCAGCCGACTTAGCGAGCTCAAACTCCAGGTCAAGTTCAGAACGACCTGGGAGAGTGGATACATGGGCTTCTCCGCAAGATACGCCATCGTACCAGGTAAGGATATACCGGCGTATCGTTATACGTAAGATACGCCGAAGTTTAGGGATCAAAGTGATACCTTCGGTTGAAGTTAGTCGTTTATTCATGAGCAGTTGAGTTGAGTATGTCTACAGTTTTGACTCTTGTTTTTTGAAGTCAGAAGATGTGTAGAATGCAATCGCCATCTGCACAATATCAACAGAACCCTTCTTCACCTGAAACTTCAAAGTCCCAGGATGCCTCTCGTCCTCCCATGATTCAACTGAAAGCACGTCGCCCTCTAGCGCTTCTCTTTGGTACAGCACGGAAAAGGTCCGTACCTTGTGCTTGAGAATGTTTCCCTTGACAGTGGAATACATCCCACTGCGTGCTCCCAAAGCAGCACAGTCGAAGCAGTAGGTAATGTAATAGTGTTGAAAGACGTGTTTGTACCAGTCAATATGACTTGGCTGAACACTTACCGAGTGAACGAACGGAGTAGTAAAGGCCTGTCTTTCAAAGACTTGGACCGTTGTTGGGCGTGGCTGTGACGTCAGGTGGGCGTAACGCTTTCTTACCCAATCAGGAAGCGGTTTAGTTTTACGTGTGTCCATACAAAAGTTCACATACTGACTGAGGTTCTTTACAACGACCTCTGCTGAAGTATCAGAGACCTCGGTTTCAACCGTGAAAGATGTCTTACCGACATTCAGCATTTTTATCGTCGCTGTCAGGATGCTGTCTGGTCTAAAGCATTTGTAGTAGGACGGGAATATTTCCCAGCTTTGAGACCGAAGGACATGTACTTCAGTAGAAGGATAACCATGTAAAGGTGATTTGAAGAAAGTCTTAATTTTCGCCTGGTATGCTAGGCTTTGGATGTGCTGTGCCATTGTCCATATCGGCACTGTTCCTGTGAGGTAACACAAAGCAAAGTGTGATTGTGATTGAATCGCAAACTGCGATGTTCAGCCTCACCTCAAAATCCTCGAAACTCACTTTCAAACTAGAAAGGTAACATTTGCAAAGAAAATGCATAATGTTTACCTTCACATGGTTTAACCCCACAAACCTCTGCTTTATTTATTTTTACCGTCAACAACACATTCATATACATATGTATGGTGATATGTAAATAATGTAAATCAACACCAGGGTGTCTGTTACAGCACCAGTTACCATGGTGACAGACGCCTGTATCTGTAACGTTATCTGTTTAGCTGGTATAACCGCACTTCGGCGCAAAACACCAGCTGGTCCAGGTCATTGACCTTATGTGTTTAGAACAACAGAAGAAACAGAGCAAATGTGTTTTCCTTCCGCGAAGCTAAACATTGTCTGCGATGACGCTACGGATCGCTTCCTATAGTTACAACTAAATGATAATAGCTGTGGCGGCTTACCTGATCTGTCAAAGTCCCAGAAGTTAAACTTGTGCTGTACCACCACTCTGTCGTCTTTGCCTGACGTCCCTTTCATGTTTGATTCAGGGGATTCTTAAAACAAAGCAAAACAAAAAGTCCATTGGACACAAATCTTCCGAAGTTTTATAACAGTTTTGGCAGAGTGGTCGAAGGTGTGTCGTGTACCAACAAAATAAAAACAACTTGGTACAAGCAGAACAAGCGCTTCAAGTATGAAATGTGATAACGAAAATGTGCTAAGTAACAATGGCAGTAAATATCACTATATCAGATTCCTTACTGAAATTGTTTTGGATGCCCCGTCGTCCGCCATGACGCTACTTGTGGACAGTTTTTCTCTGTTTACATCTTAGGAAACAAGTGCTTTACTATAAAAGAGAACAAAATGACCCCATACCTCAAACGTGTCGCAGAAAAACACAGGCAACAGGACAACACACTGTATGTAGAAGTTGCGGACTCTGACCGACTCTTGAAACTCGGAAGGCCAAGTACAAATTTAAATGGCTGACAAGGTCAAAGGATACGGAAGGTCCCACTCGTGCCCGGGGGTGGGGTGGTTGTAATAAAAGTACATGTACCTGTCTCTGCTACCAAAATTGTCAATCCTTTTTGCGGCCAAAGTCAAGAACACAAGACTTGAAACAAAAAATATCCAGTTGTGTTTATTTTTTAGCATGCCACCTCTCCTGATATGCAGTTTTCTGGTGTTTACCCAGATGCAAATCAAATTGACCATGATTTCCATATCATATAACGGGAGGGGTCCTAATTCCGACCTATGTTCCATGCAAATGCACATGCCTTTGGTAATGGTTTGTCTGACCAAAAACTCGCTCAACACGAGCTTTGATATTTACAGATAAAGATAACAACGCGTAAAGCTAAAGAGCTGTGTATTTTACTTCAGGTCAGCGCCTTGCACCCAAGCGTAAGGGTTCGCGAAACTTACGGCAGGTTTTTCGTCATTCTGCCGGTGGAACGTTCTATCGCAAAAGGGGTGCCCTAATTCCGACCTAGTATTTAACAAAGGTCAATCTGAGGGGAGGGCTTAGTATTTAAAATACTAAAACAATCTACAACTATTTTTCTGTCCCAAACAAGTCTTCTTTTTACCATTACGCGACTGGCTCCAAAGCGGCTGTTTCAAAATCAAAGCTGCGTTTTTTGACACGCTCGTCAACCCCCGAACAAGCGTCGAATTCACACAGATTTTTCACTCGTCTGTTATCGGAGCGTCGGAACTGGAACAAACTTTGTGAGATTACCGATATCAACACAGAAACTTTGTCCATTCTTGTGGTTATTGATAGGCACGTGCTCCCATGCATAACGCCGCGACAAAGATTTTTCAAAGTAGTACGGAATTAGGGGTAGGTCGGAATTAGGACACCCCCCGTTAATGTTATGAATATGAATAGTGTATTTCAGTTACTAGCATTGAACAAATAAGTGTTTAAATAACCAGTGTAGTGTAACACGAAAGCTTGCAAAGTGACAATAAGGTTACACAAAAGTTTCACACACACAGTATATAGTAGAGGGGATTCATTCCTCAAGCTACCGACATCTTGCACACGCAGTCGTCCCTCAGTAAGACATCTGGAGCCGCATAGTTCCCGTTTAGAACTTTTATTCAGCCTGTCACAAAAGTTTCACACACACACACACACACACACACACACACACACACACACACACACACACACACACACACACACAAAGAGACAACTGAAGACTGAGCCATAGATATAATGTTACATGTAATGTCGACACATTATTACAGACTTTCTGAACAGAATCATATGATGGCACAGAGAGTCAGACCATGTATATGTTCAGAATGGGTCATTTTCACAACTGGAAATTGGTAGAGGTACAAAAAACTTTGCTTTATATTAAAGCTAAAGTTGATTTCCTAAAACTGATTTGACTTCAATAGCCGTCAACTCAAATATGTTTAAATATGGTTTTCTCACCAAACACAAAAATTCAAATATTTACATTATATTCATATCTTAACATTGATTATAAATATGATATCTACAAAGACTTACAATCAACAAATATGAGGTATGGAATACAAAGAGTTTCATGATAAATTATAGTTGTGCTCTCTAAGATAAATGTAGGGAATGTAACATTAATACACAAAATTAAATTTATCATAGAAGAGAGAGATTTCATAACATGACATTGAAATGATTATGATGTAACATTGACATTTAAGAATTCAGTTAATATTAGATTCTTTGCATGGTACATTCGTTGCTTAACTTTGCTGTAATTTTTTCATTGACAATTTCTAATAACGTGGACTATCTGTCCTAATTAAACATGGTCTTCCCAAAAAAGGGAAATCAATCTGATCAAAGTTTTGCCTTCTCGATGTCAGGGACACTGGGTATACGAAAGCTCATTTTACACTGCAGTATATTGTTGTCTCCTCGCTTGACCTGAAACTTGATGGTATCAGGCTCCCTGATGTCTTCCCAGGATTCTATGCGGAGGGTGTCGCCCTCTCGCGACTCCCTCTGGTACAGCAGGTCAACACTTCGGAGGTCGTAGTCGAGAAGGTCACCACTGATGATGGAGTACGCGCCCCTCTTGGCCCCCGCCGCCGCGCAGTTGAAACAGTAGCGTACGTACTGAGACTGGTTAGTGTGCATGTTCCTGTCGATGTCACTTGGTGCCACTGTCACCGGATAGACAAAGGCTGGTTTGACATCAGACAGGTCGAATGGTTGTACCGCTGCAGGGCGTGATGTCAGGTGCGAGTACTGCTCGATCGCCCAATCAGGAAGTGGCTTCGGCCTGCGCGTCTCCCTGTCGATGTTGACCATCTGAATTTGCCGACTGACTAGTTCCTTGTCGGTGTCTCGGTCAAACATTTTCGTCTCATACATATACGAGGTTTTCCCGACGAAGATCATTTTGGCTTCAAAACGGACAGCTCTTCCCGGGAATTCTATCAGCTCATGATAGGCGGGACTGAACTGCACACTTTGGCAACGGGCAAAGCGCATTCCGTAGGCGACTTCAGCACCCCGCTGAAAGAACTGCTGTGATATGCCAAGATTTGCCATACGGTGCAGGACACCCCAGAGTGGTAACTTTCCTGTCATCCAACACAAGATGATGAACAATTAACAAAATTTTCATCATGATATGTGACCATTTCTATTTCACTTCAAGTTCAAATGTACCAGAAACAAACTGACAAACAAGCAACTAGCAGGTCATAGAAACCTTAACAATCACTATCCAAAAATTGTTGAATGTGCCCAATACTATTTCCACAGGAACAGGTGGTGTGGTCTTGTTCCTGGCCTGGGTGCGAACTGTTACTTGATATGTTACACTCTTCTTTCACTTGCTGGCTGCAAAGACTTCTTTGGAAAGCAACTGTAAGGTGCCATAAGCATATTGGATGGCACCCAGGTTAAGCTAAGGTCCCAATTACGCCGGTGCCCGTCGGGGATGTAGCCCCGGCTGGCCCCGGCCGGGTTCAGGAGTCGAGCGGGCATCGGCTGTCGTGGTCACAATTAAAAGTTTCCTTCAGTAGCATTTTGTTAGAAATTTTGTTACCCTCTTTGGTCGGTATCCGGCAGGCACCCGGCAGGTATCCAGCAGATTCTCTGACGATGTCTTGTATTGACCTATACGTAATGCAGAATTCACGTATTTGTTGTGATCATTTGATCTGTGAGGTCACACATTTTACCCGGGTTTACGAAGTACACACCTTTATTCTGTTCATCTGGTCTGTGACGTAAGAAATGTGTCCTGGTGGAATGCCGGCAACCGGAGGGGTACCTCTCGATGTTCTCACGATGAGGTCACGGCGTCTTTTTGTCAGCGGGGCCCGGGTAGAATTTAACTCAGAATTAAATTCTTATCGGGGCCCCGACGGGCCAAAAAATAGCCCGGTAGCCGCAGGGTGCCCCGCGGGGCCACGTCGGGGTCCCGCCCGAAAGTGGTAAAAAACAGCCCGGGAACTACCCGCCAGGACCCCTTTTCCCAATTGGGACCTTAGCTTTAACAGGGCGGCAAAGGATTAATAATATACTAAATGCTGTGAGACATCTAGGACTACAAAGACAGAATGCAACACCCTATGTCTTACTCTGGCTTACCTTTCCTATTAAACTCCCAAGGATAAAACCTGCTTCTGGAAACTTTCACAGCCATGTCTTCTACTGCTGAAGTCATTGTGATCACCAGATCTCCTACATGAATAGATGTATAGAACAAATAAATCAATATACAGAATCAGATATGTTTTATAAATATGATTGTCATGATGAAAGGCTATTTAAGGGTACACAAAATGTGGGTAAAAAAGTCTAAAATGTGGGTACACAAAGTTGTAGTGGGTACGTAATAGTAATAGATAAACAGGGCATGGAAGGGGTTAGCTGGGTGTGTTTTAAGTACAGGTAAGGTATAATCAACCCCAGACTGTTTGAGAGTTTTACCAGTCTTATCCTTGAGGTCATTGACTCCAGAAATTTTGATCTTGTATCCTTCAGGTTATTGACCCCATTAAGTTTTTAAATGGTTGACAAAAAATACATTTGCCCATAGAAAGAGTCAGATACTCTCTATAGAGGGTTGCTTGTAAAAAAAGTCTGTAATTCCATCATTTACAACATCGCTATCATGAATCAGAGTCATAATAACTGGCAAAACTGTATGTCTACATACTATTAGGTAAAGCTTTTAAAGGGTCTTCAGTGGTTTTTCTAGAAAAATTTTGCATGAGGGAGCAGATCGCAAGCATGGCAAGGAACGAAGCTACTGAGGGGGGATTTTTTAATAAGAGTAACACAGTTTGTAATGCTAAGAATGAATTGTTGTATTTTTTTACATCTTTACTGGAAAAAGATCATTTTGAGAAAGACTAACTGGTGTGTAAGTAACCACATAGGGTTCAATCTGAAAATTGGTGTGAGGGAGCTGGCTGGTTACATGAGGGTGCAGCTCCCTTGTTCCCCTGTTTAGAAAAAACCCTGGTCTTTATAGGTCCTCTGGATTTATTGCAGTGGTACGATATTACGTCAGATAGTTGACCGTAAGGTCATTCGTGGAATGGCCCTCCATACGATGTTACGTAAGGTTACTGACAGAGAGGTCATAACGATAACTTGTATGTAGGAGGTAGTAAAAAATGTAACTACTGTTAGTACTATCATGCTCTACAACACAGACAGTTTTCACCAGATTTCACCTATTTGGCTTTACGTTAGATGGGAATAAAAAATAGTCCATAAATAATCCTCTTTCGTGGAGTCAACACTGAACACACGACACACATTCAAGTCTACCATTTTAGTCTGCTAGTAAAACGCGTGGATATCTGGTGTATAACACGAGAGATCTTTTAACACTGGAAAAAACGAGCGTGTACGTACCGTTTTGCGTTGTCTGTCAAGATCACCAAGCGCTCACAGCTAGCTCAATACCGCGGTATACCGTGGAAACCCTCATCCGGCGTATTTCTAACCTTTGGGTCATGCCATTTTTGTGGGGGTGCTACATTTCATGTACTGAGCATTTCCAGATGTAATTGTTTGATGCTCAATAATAGTTACATAATGTAAAATGGAGCCTGCCTATATGCATACCACTCACAATGTTTTGGGTATTTTAGCCATCTAAGTAGTTAATAAGACAAAAAATAATGTTACCCTAAAATAATGGATTCCTCCAAAGGAGTCAAAGGTGAATGACCTCCACTGCTGGCAGGTGCATATGACGTCACTAGCATAAAGCACCATATAGAGCGCAAACCAGCGTGGCAAAAACTGAAAACTTTTAAGCACACATTTTTAAAAGTTACCAACGTATCTTGATACCTTACACTTACCAAAATGTGTCATTAAAACAACTACAAACTGCTAAAATTATGACATAGTATATTTTAAAAGTAAAACTATTTCTTGTGGTTCCAATTTGGTGACCATCCATTGAAAGTAGATTATTAGGGAAAAAAGGGAAATGAATTTTTTTTTTATATCTTCGTAGATTTCCGGAAGGGTTCGATAAACATCGGATCGTCCGACGAAGCGGTTCGTATGGTGAGCGTGTCCTTCCCGGGGCCTTTCTTCTCAACCGTTCCGACGCTCAAGGCAAAGGTAATTTCTTTGTAACATTCTATCTTTATTCTGGATTTGTTGCAGTGGTACGATATTACGTAAGATATCGATAGTTGACCGTAAGGTCGATCATTCGTGGAATGGCCATCCGTACGATGTCGCCTAAGCTAAGGTTATTGACCGAGAGGTCATATTGTGTTGTCTTCAACATCTCCTGTTCTAAATGTATAACATTACAGTAGACCACTTTAATTCAATTCTATGGATGACATCCCCGCCCGCATTGATTTTCGCCTGTTCTAAAAAATTCACTTCCGAGGAGCCCTTGCCTCTTGCCCGGGTGCCATCCTCCGTAGTCCATGAAGGCTAGCAACAGTAGGGACCTACAGAGTGGTAGTATAGTACTAATGGTAACTACAGAGGATGGCACCCAGTCTGCAGGTGCTCTACGGAACTAAGTACAGTGCCGCAATAGGCCAGCATGTGCCGGTTTGTCGTAACAGTCGTTATGTACTAATACAAATTCACAATACCAACTTTGTATTCCTGTGGTTTAGCAGCATTTTTGGGACTAGATCTTTCCTTCGATATACATATGTCTTTTAAAATTACGGTAATTTTAAAATAATTGTATGTAATTGTAATGTAATTTTACGTTAGGGCACGGTCACATTTCCAAGCCGGGGCCCGACCGGGTTGGTTGCGTGAACGAAAATTAAACAATTTGTATCAAGAGTAAACAAATTGTGTTTTGCTGTCTTATGTCATAATTTTCGTTCCATACGACTGCCCGGCCGGGCCCCGGGTTGGGAAATGTGACCGCGCCTTTAACTGTGCGTATATGTAACCCTGGGTCTTTTATGTACTTGTGCTGGAAGAGTATTAGCCTGGGTGCCATCTCCAGTAGTATATTCGCCAGCTCTATAACAGTTGTTATCTTTAAGCTGTTTATTGTTCATTGATTGTATTGTATTATGTGTTTTGATTATATTGTAACAAACTATCCACTTCAGGGAGACTCTTGTCCTTCCCTGCATATGTATGTTTGGTGGTTGGAAAGCCAATAAAGACTACTAATATAGTTATAGAGCTGGCGAATATACTACTGGGGATGGCACCCAGGCTAGAAGAGTATATAGCTGTACGTCACTTCGTAGACAACCATGTCAAAGGAGAGACTGAACTCCGAAAAACTCCAATCTATTCCCATCTCATGATCATCCTGAAGGTGAATAAGGAGACAGGTCAAGACGAGCGGTTCTCGGTCCACGTGGATGAGTTGACTCCGGGTAAGTTCGTGGCTGCCGTGAGGAGGACTGATCAGCAGAAGGGGTGGAGAACCAACCCCACCTTAACATGGATAGCAGAGATGGGCAGAGGTGCGTTACCTTCGACAAGAAGGTTATGTTTTCGTGACTGCGTGTGTGTGTGTGTGTGTGTGTGTGTGTGTTTGTGTGTGTGCGTGCGTGTGAGGCTGTGTGTGTATGTGTCAACAGCATAACTCGGGATCGACGGCAATGTTTAATCATAATCATAATGGGTCTGTGGAACCCCCCGGGGATCACAGCGGGTAATTAGCTGCCGGGTCTCTGGTCCCTGTCGTCGCGTGACTTCAGTCTGTCGCCACTCGCTCAGGGGCAAGTTTTGGGGCGCCCTAGTGGCTTTCCTTGGTACCGCAGCAGAATTTCAAGTTTTGATATCTCGTAAGCTGTACATGCTAGGGTCACGATTTTATGTTGGTAGATAGCCATTGGAACAGAGAATATGTGACATAGGTTTGGGCCCCCTATCAGATTGTTTTGGAGCTGCAGGGCCATTTTTCGTAAAATGTTTGAAAGATGATAACTCGAGAAGGGGTCGATGGATCGTCATGATTTTTGGTAAGTAGGTAGTTATGATGAAAAAAATCACATAATTAGATCATGCAAATCAATCATGCAAAATGCCTCATTTGCATAAATAATGGCAAACGTATAAGTAACGTTCACTCTTGTACGCGGTAGGTGGTTATGGATATTAAATGAATAGATGAAAGCTTCTTGAACAACCTTTCTCCAGCAGTGTCTGATGTGTGTACTGAGACGGAGTTCCGCTGTGCCGACCTGACCTGTGTCCCCGGGGAGTGGCACTGTGACGGCGAGCCGGACTGCCCGGACGGCTCCGACGAGTCCCCCGAGGAATGCCGTAAGTTTTTCCCTAGTCCCAAGGAGATGATGGTGGTGCCCTTGGCCGTCCTTGTGTTATTACAGATCTTTTGGTGGCTAAAAAGACATATAGTATCAAATTTGCAAGGTACATGTAGTATTAATTTACCAGGCAGTTTCCATTTGACAAGTTTGGCTGGCATAAAAAAGATCAATCAATCAATCTTTATTGCGCAACAATTGCAATGGATACAATGTATGGCAAGTGCTTAAATCAAAAGATAACAACAATACTAAAATCTACTTCTAGATACCTTATTCTAACGGTACCCTATAATTGTGAGTGATGAATTATACAATATATATGGAACATGGATACAATGTTAACATAAGTTCAAGGTGTCACAGATGATATTGTTTCTTTTCTGAAGAGCAGAGGATATGAATTGGCCTATATACAAGGATATTGGTTCAGGACATGACATCAGTAAATTAAAAGTATCTGAGCTTGTCTTAGGTAAGGTAATGTTTGAGTTACGTGAAATCATATTCATAAGTGTCAACCTTTCTTCAGTATACATGGGACAAGATAATAAAAAGTGACATTCATCTTCAACAGTATGTTTACATGTAGGACAGCGTCTCTGAGTGGCTGGTACATTCTTATAACGACCTTTGTGTCAGTACCATATACGAGACCAAAATGAGCAACGCCGTCGCAGATAATGTATCGACCAATTCGACGTTTCCTCAATCGGATTGAAAGTTTAAACTCCAATTGATCAATGCTATTGTTTCCTCGCAGGTTGCCCGTTTGGTTATGGACGTTTCGGTGACTCCTGCTTCAAGGTGTCCCGGTTTCGGGCGGACTACGCGGGGGCGGAGGAGGAATGCCTGAACGAGGGGGCACACCTGGCCGCTATCAAGGACCCGGAAACACACGAGTACGTTACACTGGCAGGAACACCATTCAGTCGGTGCCATCAATTGTACCATGTACAATTGTCGTGCAATAAAGTTCTTCAAAAGAGTCATATTTCTTATAATAAAGGACGCACCCCAAGTAAAGTTCATATCCCCGCAACATTTCAGATCCCAGCGATTATGCTTTCAATCAAAATATTTTTAACGTTAGATGCACACGATATGCCCACATTTCAGTCATATGCTTCCTCAGGAATCTTTGTCGCCAACAGCCTGGGCAAGCAGGACCGGAGGGTGCCCGGGAAGCTAAAATCTGTAAAATTAAAATTTGACCATGTCACGCATTGCCAGCTGTCTGGCTTGTGTCACGATTTTTCTCGGGGAAAAATCTGTACTTTGGCTTTGAACTGAAGTAACTACTTAAGAGTTGAAATGTCAAGAAAAGTGCATCCTTTATTAGAAGAAACATGGGGGAGGTACAGTTTTTTTGTGAACGTGAAAATGCTTTTTGACACTCGTGAAATATTGAGTAGCATACTAGTATGTATATAGCAGCTACTGTCCTTGGTGCTGAAAGCCAGGTTCCAACTGATTTCAACATGCACAGTGAAGCAGAAGTCCGAAGAAATTGACGCATTGAGCTTTTTAATTACAAGTAAGGCCATGTTGATTTGATTATATGGATGACATCCGCGCGCGCATGAATTTTCGCCCGTTTAAAAAAAATGTTTTCAATCATACTGTAAATCGTACAAAACAGTTGCAAAATGAGCAAAAATATACCGTAAGTTACAAAAAAACCATACCAATGTCGTAGAATGCCAAAATCAAACGAAAAGAGACGAAATTGTAAAGAGATGAACTTGACCACTAGATTATTCGCCAAAACTATATTCCGTCCCATTTGTTCAACCTTCATGACCACGTAGATTTCATAATGAAAACAACTTTTTTTTTGCAAAACTTTTTTTTTATTCGCACGCGCGCATAAGTTTTGGGGTTCACAGAGGATGTCATCCATGTAATCAAATCAACATGGCCTAAGATAGGAATATTTCAAACTCAGTGTTGACTTTCCTTGTTTCAATCAGGTATATTTTAAGTCTGACGGCGCCGGTAAGAAACCTCTGGGTTTTGTGGATTGGACTAGAGGACAGAGAAAAGGAGGGCTCTTTTGTCTTCGGCGACGGCACACCGCTATCAGGTCTGCGAGCTAGCTTTTCTTTTTTAAAAGTTTCCAATCATTTTTCTTCGACTGTGTCTTGTATACAACAGAGGTGAGGGTGGTCTAATGAAGTGATGCCTTGATTTGTAAGCATGCGCAACCGAATTTTATATATGAATCCTTCACAGATTCCAAACTTAATGCAATAGGGAAAAAAATAGGACAGGCAAGAAATAATCCCACAATTGCAGATTTTTAGATCACAAACCTTGCTAAACATCAATCAAGGCCACAAAACATGTAGAAAAGGGCATTTTGTGACAGAACTGATAGATGTTTACGACATATTTGTCCACTTTCGGCACCGTCGGAGGGCAATAAAATTTCTTATCTTTTTTTTAATCAGGCGAACGTGCGCTGATATCATCCTTAAAATCACTTGCTGTGGTCTAAATTTGTTTTATTTTGGATACAGACGACTCTTGGCAAAACTTCTATTGGGAAGGAGCTTCTGAAGGGGAAGACAAGGACTGTGTTGAGATGTACCACTCCGGTCAACGGGACGCCGCCTACTGGAGCGCTCAGTACTGCAGCCTTCCTCGCCGCTTCATCTGCCAACTAGGTATAATCTCACAGCAGGAAATCTTCATAAGAGTACCTTAAAGTTGTACCAACAACTGTTGGTACAACCGTAATTAGCTTCCTTAACCCGTAACAACCTACCTAACCCCGTAACTAGCTACCTAACCCAGTACCCCATAGGTATAGGAAGAATGTTAATTGGTACGTCTGCCCTCAGCCGCTGCACCCTCCCTGGATGTAGAAGAAACCACGCCTCCCATCCCGGACTATCCGGATGAAGACGAGTTTCCGGCAGCTGCATCGATACAAGATCCAGCGCCTGGAGCCCTGTCACCGGAGATTGCGGGTCTTCTGAGCGAAATTTTACCGGGCGGTCTGTTTTCTGGACCATCGGAAGATGTCCGGGAGACAACAGTGGCCCCAATGGACGTCGAAGGTAAGAAATAAGGCAAAGTCAATAAAAGATGAATCCAACATGTTACATGTACGTACTCACTTAGATACCATAACTCCGTTTCTTAAACCTTGAAAAACAAAACAAGAAACAACAATTATTGTAAGTTCTTGCACCTAATATCCTTCTTTGCATAGAGTATTAGTGCAAATTCATGTATTATCATTCCCGTTTTATCAATTCATGTGATATCTTTCAAACACAGAAAAAGCGGCAACAGAGAGGCCGACACAGGCAGTACCTGCTGTTGTCGAGACGCCCGGAGAGGAGACGATACCGTTACCCGATAGAGAACCGGTCGCAGCAGAACCGGTGGAGAAGACGGGGACAGACATGCAGGAAGTGCCGCAAGAGGCTGATGAAACAGGAGCCGAAGATGCAGGGGAAACAGAGGATGCAGTGGAAGGAGAAGAAGCTACCCAAATGCCACCGGTGATTGAAGCAATCGATGAAGTTTTCGAGGAAGAGGAAACGGCAACGGAAGTGCCGCAGGAGGCTGATGAAACAGGGGCCGAAGATGCAGGGGAAACAGAGGATGCAGTGGAAGAAGGAGAAGCTACCCAAGATACAGAGGAGGATGACATGGAGTTAAAAAAAGAGGATAAGGAGATAGAAGAAGAGGACAAGGACACAGAGGAAGAGGACAAGGAGGCAGAGGAAGATGGTACAGAAATGACTGGCGTGGCGGATATCATAGATGAAATACTCGGAGTGGAGGATGAAGAGACCGGCACAGAAATGTCGGAGGTAGTTGATGAAGCTGACGAATCGACAAAAGAAGCAGAATCACCCGAGGTGGACATGGAAGAAACACAGGAGGAAGGCGACGGGGAGACAGAAGAAGAAATGGCAGGAGAGACAGCAGAGGAGACAGATGAGGAAGACACAAAGGAGGAAATGGGTGGTCTAAAGGCGAGTGAGGGAGTGGACGAGGAACCTGAAAAGGATGAAATAGAAGAGGAGGGGGAAGTAGAAAAGGAAAGTACCGATGCTGAAGATGCTCAAGATGAAGACGAACCTGTGCAGGAGCAAGAACAACCAGGAGGAAGTGAAGAATCTGAAGAGGAAACTAACATTATAGCAGAAGTGGTCCAGCCTCCTGAGATGGAAGAGGAATCTGCAGAGGTCCAGCCAATAGCACGGATGGACACCGAGGTAGAGTCAGACGGTAAGCAACCAGTTAGTGCTCACTTAGATACTTTTTCTGAAATCATATCCTATAAACACATAATACAAGAGCTTTATATGTAACCACAAAATTATTACTAGGTATTAAGATTGCAACGGTAACAGCTTTTTTGTCTTGTACACACAGGGTTGCAAAGTGCGGGAGAGGAAGAATATGGCACTGAAATGTCACCACTCCAGGACACAAGAGAACAAATACAAGCTGAGAAGGAGACCAAAGTAGAGCCAACTGGGCCATCTAAAGTGGAGGGCATTGTGGAGGCGACTGTGGATAAAATTATGGAGGGGGAGACTACAGAAGATGTAGAAATAAAGGAGGAGACTACAGACGAAGTGGAAATGGAAAAAGAGGAGACTACAGAAGAAGTGGAAATGGAAAAAGAGGAGACTTCAGAAGAAGTGGAAATGGAAAAAGAAGAGGAGACTACAGAAGAAGTGGAAATGGAAAAAGAAGGGGATACTACAGAAGTGGAAATGGAAAAAGAAGAGGAGACTACGGAAGAAGTGGAAATGGAAAAAGAAGAGGAGACTACAGAAGTGGAAATAGAAAAAGAGGAGGAGACTACAGAAGAAGTGGAAATGGAAAAAGAAGAGGAGGCTACAGAAGAAGTGGAAATGGAAGAAGAAGAGGAGACTACAGAAGTGGAAATAGAAAAAGAGGAGGAGACTACAGAAGAAGTGGAAATGGATAAAGAAGAGGAGACTACAGAAGAAGTGGAAATAGAAAAAGAGGAGGAGACTACAGAAGTGGAAATGGACAAAGAAGAGGAGACTACAGAAGTAGTGGAAATGGAGAAAGAAGAGGAGACTACAGAAGAAGTGGAAATAGAAAAAGAAGAGGAGACTACAGAAGAAGTGGAAATGGATAAAGAAGAGGAGACTACAGAAGAAGTGGAAATAGAAAAAGAAGAGGAGACTACAGAAGAAGTGGAAATGGAAAAAGAAGAGGAGACTACAGAAGAAGTGGAAATAGAAAAAGAAGAGGAGACTACGGAAGAAGTGGAGAGGGAGGATACAGAAACTGATGACATAACAGAAGTGGTTGATACGGAGACAGAGGAGACAACAGAGCTTGCTCCTGTTGATGTTGTTGCAGTAGCTGACGTAACAAAGCAGCCAGAGGCAGAGGGCCTTCCAGAGATAGAAGAGGACATTGTGCCAGAAGAAGAAGTAGAGGAGACAACAGAAAGTGTTCCTGTAGTCGAGGCTTCGCTGGATGTGACTGAGGAAGAGCCAACGCTGCTGCCTGAGGAAGCGGGGGGAACTGCTGAGGAACTGAAGGTTTGGATGTTGCTTTGACTCTTTGAAATCCTTCTCCCATTTATCAGTATAATTGACCAATCGATTACTGATACAGGGTGTGCATATCAATACCCTGTAGGCAGAACTCCAGATACATAAGCATGCTAGTACAGTGGAGTGTAGGTACATGTATGTTGCTGCCATAGGCAATGTATATATAGATATTCAATAAATTCACCTACAAAGGTAAGCCCCCCCCCAACAGTAATAGAAAATACATTTTCGACAGCCACAGCTTTTCTATTGAGAAAATCGAAGTGACTTGTCAAAAGCTCTTTTGATCCTATGTATGAAAAGTATATATGTATACGTATGATGTGTGTATTTAGCCACAGGAAATAGTGCTGCCAGAGATTGAAGCAGAGGAAGGCAAAACTGACGATCAGACACATCAGGAAGCAAGCGAGGAGGAGACCAACCTGATAGCGGTGGACTTGCGGCGACTTGGCTCAGATGAAAGTCCCGATGGCGAGACAGGTCATATCATCACATTCTATGCTCCTGCTTGATTAAAGCCCATCACACGTGGCTGAATTTGGCTTCCCGAACACTAGCTGAAATGGTGTGATCCAGCCAACCATGGTGGGCAAGGTTAGCTGGGTCAGCTGATATTTGACCAGGTTGGCTACTGTTCGGCTGCTCCAGCCAAATGTTTCAAAACATTCGGGTGTTGAAGACAGGTTTGGCCATGTTTGGCTGGTGTTCGGAAATATGTTGGGCCATGGTCGGCAGTGAAATTTGACTGAAATTTAACTCAAATTCCATTGGTTCAATATCTAATGGTATATGCAGCCTAAATATGGCTAAACTGCTTCGAACTTCAGCCAACTTTGTTTAGCTGAAGGTCCTGAAAGTGTGACAATGGCTTAAAATAGACATCAGTTACTTGCAGTTTTCAAGAAAATTTGACCACTGGAATGTATCGCATGTTCACATTTGCGTTTTTCTACTTTTACTGACATGCAATTTGGCTTTCTTGTTTTCTTCTGTTGCAGATGTTGGGAAAGGGGAGCCGCTTGTTGTCTTTGAATCAGAAGTGATCGACCCATCTTCAGTTGAAGTGATAGTGGCAGAGTCAGTAGAGGAAGCAGAAGAAGGTAACGATGTTGGTACAACTGTAAGAGGTAACATACACCCCCTCCCTACACTACCCCTCCCCTACAGTATCCCTCCCCTTCCCTACACTAACCCCTCCCCTTCCCTACAC